CCATCTCTGTCTCTCTCGCTCTCCTCACTCCATCTCTGTCTCTCTCTCTCTCTCCATCTCCGTCTCTCTCTCTCCTCACTCCATCTCTCTCTCTCTCTCCTCACTCCATCTATGTTTCTCTCCTCACTCCATCTATGTTTCTCTCTCTCTCCTCACTCCATCTCTGTCTCTCTCTCTCTCTCCTCACTCCATCTCTGTCTCTCTCTCTCCTCACTCCTCACTCCATCTCTGTCTCTCTCTCTCCTCACTCCATCTCTGTCTCTCTCTCTCCTCACTCCTCACTCCATCTCTGTCTCTCTCTCTCTCCTCACTCCATCTCTGTCTCTCTCTCTCTCCTCACTCCATCTATGTTTCTCTCTCTCCTCACTCCATCTCTGTCTCGCTCTCTCTCCTCACTCCATCTCTGTCTCTCTCTCTCCTCACTCCATCTATGTTTCTCTCTCTCCTCACTCCATCTCTGTCTCTCTCTCCTCAATCCATCTCTGTCTCTCTCTCTCTCCTCACTCCATCTCTGTCTCTCTCTCTCCTCACTCCATCTATGTTTCTCTCTCTCCTCACTCCATCTCTGTCTCGCTCTCTCTCCTCACTCCATCTCCGTCTCTCTCTCTCCTCACTCCATCTATGTTTCTCTCTCTCCTCACTCCATCTCTGTCTCGCTCTCTCTCCTCACTCCATCTCTGTTTCTCTCTCTCCTCACTCCATCTCTGTCTCGCTCTCTCTCCTCACTCCATCTCTGTCTCTCCTCACTCCATCTATGTTTCTCTCTCTCTCCTCACTCCATCTCTGTCTCTCTCTCCTCACTCCATCTCTGTCTCTCTCTCTCCTCACTCCATCTATGTTTCTCTCTCTCCTCACTCCATCTCTGTCTCGCTCTCTCTCCTCACTCCATCTCTGTCTCTCTCTCTCCTCACTCCATCTATGTTTCCCTCTCTCCTCACTCCATCTCTGTCTCTCTCTCTCCTCAATCCATCTCTGTCTCTCTCTCTCCTCACTCCATCTCTGTCTCTCTCTCTCCTCACTCCATCTATGTTTCTCTCTCTCCTCAATCCATCTCTGTCTCTCTCTCTCCTCACTCCATCTCTGTCTCTCTCTCTCCTCACTCCATCTATGTTTCTCTCTCTCCTCACTCCATCTCTGTCTCTCTCTCTCTCTCCTCACTCCATCTATGTTTCTCTCTCTCTCTCTCCTCACTCCATCTCTGTCTCTCTCTCTCTCCTCACTCCATCTCTGTCTCTCTCTCTCCTCACTCCATCTCTGTCTCTCTCTCTCCTCACTCCATCTCTGTCTCTCTCTCCTCACTCCATCTCTGTCTCTCTCTCCTCACTCCATCTATGTTTCTCTCTCTCTCCTCACTCCATCTCTCTCTCTCTCCTCACTCCATCTCTGTCTCTCTCTCCTCACTCCATCTATGTTTCTCTCTCTCCTCACTCCATCTCTGTCTCTCTCTCTCCTCACTCCATCTCTGTCTCTCTCTCTCCTCACTCCATCTCTGTCTCTCTCTCTCCTCACTCCATCTCTGTCTCTCTCTCCTCACTCCATCTCTGTCTCTCTCTCTCTCCTCACTCCATCTCGGTCTCTCTCTCCTCACTCCATCTCTGTCTCCCTCTCTCTCTCTCCTCACTCCATCTATGTTTCTCTCTCTCTCCTCACTCCATCTCTGTCTCTCTCTCTCTCCTCACTCCATCTCTGTCTCTCTCTCTCTCCTCAATCCATCTCTGTCTCTCTCTCTCTCCTCACTCCATCTCTGTCTCTCTCTCTCCTCACTCCATCTCTGTATTTTGTCTGCATCTCTCTCATCTCAGGACATGGATTGGCCAAGCATGCCAGTGTAGCAGGACCCTCCTGATTTAAAAAAAAACAATAGAGAGTCTTCGAACTCTTTTGTGGCTTTCCTGTGTAAATAAGTCATCATTATCTCATGCTGTGACCCCTGTGACCCCCAACGCCCCCCCCCCCTCCACCGCCCCCCCCCCCCCAAGGCTGTGGGCTGTGACAACGTGCTGGGCTCGGGCGCCCTGGAGGACTCGTGTGGCGTCTGCCGCGGGAACAACGCGAGCTGCCAGTTCGTGCGCGGCGTGTTCACGAGCCAGCAGCCCGGGCACGGTGAGCGACGCACACACGTGCACGTGCGCGTGCGCATGCACGCGCACGTGCACGTGTACACACGGACAGCATCAACAACAACAATAACCGCCACTCGCCACTAAGTGGCGGTGACCTCACCACGGCGCTTGTGCCAGGCTAAGTGTACGTTGAGGCCACGTGAAGTGTCGAACGCCCGCTGGCAGAAGGTCACGGGGCAGACCCAGGTGCCACGGGTTGACTGACTGAGATGACTGGCTGATGCACCAGCTGTGTCCCCTACGCACACACACAAAGACAAAGATCCCCCGTATAGCCTTGACAGACTGTAGGGGCAAGTGCTGTTAGCGAGCACTTAGAAAGGCCGGCACGTAACACGAGGGCGTGGGTTGGCCAACACCACGCCCGGCCGCCTTTGTCTCCCCAGTGGCGATGTTTACACACTGCATCAGGTACTCATTTGAGGCTCAGTCGACTTAGGGGAGGCCCATTATCGTCACTGGTGTTGGCCGTGAGTGGGAATCGAACTCGGGTCTCCAGGTTTATAGCGCAGCGTAGCGCTAACCGCTACACTACACGCACGCGCACACACAAGCACACGCACACACACGCATGCACAAGATGCACCCCCAAAAAAAAGATCTCCCGTATAGCCTTGAACAGACTTTTGGGGCAAGTACTCCTAAAGGCTGGTACGGAACACGAGGGGGTGGGTGGCGGGCAGCGCGCCCGACCGCCTTTGTCTCCCCGAGTGCTGATGTCTACACACTGCAACAAGCGCTCATTTGAAGCTGCATCGACCCAGGGGAAGCTGAGGACCGGTTCAGATGTGAGCGGGAATCGAATTGGGGTCGCCCCCGATTTACAGTGCAGTGCGCTAACCACTACACCACCGCTTCACACACACACTCACACATGCGCGAGCTCGTAGGACGCGCGCAAGAATGCGTTCATGCGTGCATGAAAGCATGGACGCATGAACGCACGGCTGCATGGACGCGCGTGTGCATGCGTTCATCCGTGAACGAACGCGCGGATGGATGTTCTCACGCGTGCACGGGTGAACAGAAGCAACGGCAAAGATCTCCCGTATAGCCTCACATACGATGCGGGGCAAGCGTTGTTAACGAGTAGCACCGATGAAGGCCGGCACGGCACACGAGTGGGTGGGTGGCCAGCACCACACCCGGCCGCCTTTGTCTCCCCAGTGGCGATGTTTACACACCGCACCAGGTACTCATTTTGAGGCTGCGTCGACCTAGGGCAGCCCCAGGACCGTTTCAGAAAATCGTCGTCGGTGTTGGCTATGAGCGGGAATCGAACTCGGGTCGCCGGGTTTATAGCGCAGCGCGATAACCACTACACCACCGCTCCCCAGCAGGTAATCATTTGAGGCAGACACGCACGCACATGTTGAGACGTAGCTACTTCCTAAACTCGGTGAGCATGGCGATGATGATTCTTCGTGAATAGTTGTGTGTGTGCTTCTTGTGCCGGTGCCATTCCTCAATTTGTTGATTCAATTTTAGATTTTGCTTGGTAAAATAGTAGTAGGGTTTGTTTATTTGCTTCGTCGTGGCTGTATATTAGATTGGGACCTAATATTTATAGTTAATGTACAGCGCTACGGTGTGCTATTTGCACGCACGGTGCTATATTTACCGTTAAGTATAATTCGCATTTAATTCGGCCGGGTGTCTTGGTGATAGAGCGAGCGGCACAATGCCTGGGTTACAACGAGCGCCAGGGGGTCGGGCTCGAGCTCACGATCCTCGTGCGGTACCAGACGAGCCAGTCGACATCGCGACGCTTCCAAACGCGGTGAACTCTCCCCGTTAACCTGACAGTCCTTACACCACGGTCACTCTGTCCCTCCGCCTGCTGGCGACTGCGCAGGGTACCGCGTGGTGGTAACCATCCCGGCCGGCGCCCGGAGCATCCACGTGTCGGAGGTGAACATATCCGGCTGCTACCTCGCGGCTCGGGACGCGCGCGGCCGCTACCACCTGACGGGCGGTCACACCGTGGATTGGCCCGGGCGCTACGAGTTCGCCGGAGCGGCCTTCAGCTACAAGCGGCCCTACAACAACGGCGAAAGCCTCAGCAGCGCGGGCCCCACCAACGAGACGCTCGTCATAGAGGTGGGGGAGGGGGGTAGTGAGCGAGCGAGTGGGCGAGTGAGCGAGAGAGTGAATAGGTGAGAGAGTGAGCGAGCGAGGGAAAGAGCGGAGCGAGGAAATGAGTGAGCAGGTTGGGGAGCGAGTGAGCAGGGTAGTGAGTGAGAGACTGAGTGAACAGGTAAGAGAGTGAGCGAGCCAGGGAACGAGCGGAGGAGTGAGCGTGTTAGCAGGATAGTGAGTGAATGAGTGAGCAGGTTAGGGAGCGAGTGAGCAGGGTAGTGGGTGAATGTGCGCGCAAGCTAGTGACTGAGTGAATGAGTGAGCAGGGTGGTGAGTGAAAGAGTGAGTGAAATAGGTAATAGAGCAAGCAAAATAAGGAACGAACATGTTAGTGAGTGGATATGTGAGCAGGTTAGTGAGTGAGCGAGCATGTTACTGAGTGAGCGGGGTAGCGATCACTGAGCATGGCAGTGAGTAAGTGAGTGAACAGGCAAGTCAGCGAGAAGCCCAAAGAAGAACCGAGCGTTGGAGGGAGTGAGTGAGTGCGCGAGTGAACGAGCGAGTGAGTCTTCTTGAGAGAGCGAGCGAGTCACGGACACACGCGATCGACCGTTGCGAGTTGCTAGCGACGGTCGATGGCGTGTGTCGGCACTCATCCTCACCATGGCGTGACTGTGTGAGGTTGTCTGGCGTGACTGTGTGAGGTTGTCTGGCGTGACTGTGTGAGATCGTCTGGCGTAATGGTGTCTGGTCTCTCTGCTGCGGCGGTGTCATCGCAGCTGCTGATGTTTGGCAAGAACCCCGGCATCTCGTGGGAGTACACGGTGCCACGTGGTGGCGGCGGCGGGTCGGACCGTACGAAGGTGGCGGCCGCGCCGCGACACTCCTACAGCTGGGTGGTCGTGCGATCTACGTGCAACGCCACGTGCGGCCGGGGTGATGCGCGCAGACGCACGCACGGAGACACACACACACACAGGGAGTTACACACGGGGAGACACACACACACACACACGGGGAGACACACACACACACAGGGAGTTACACACGGGGAGACACACACACACACACACGGGGAGACACACACACACACAGGGAGTTACACACGGGGAGACACACACACACAGGGAGTTACACACGGGGAGACACACACACACACAGGGAGTTACACACGGGGAGACACACACACACGGGCAGACACACACACAGGGAGTTACACACACACACACGGGGAGTTACACACGGGGAGACACACACACACAGGGAGTTACACACGGGGAGACACACACACACAGGGAGTTACACACGGGGAGACACACACACACACGGGGAGTTACACACGGGGAGACACACACACACGGGCAGACACACACACACAGGGAGTTACACACACACACGAGCAGACACACACACAGGGAGATACACACGGGGAGACACACACACACAGGGAGATACACACGGGGAGACACACACACGGGCAGACACACACACGGACAGACACACACACAGGGAGATACACACGGGGAGACACACACACACGGGCAGACACACACAGGGAGATACACACACACGGGCAGACACACACACACGAGCAGACACACACACGGGCAGACACACACACGGGCAGACCACACACGGGCAGACACACACACAGGGAGATACACACACACGGGCAGACACACACACACGAGCAGACACACACACACACGGGCAGACACACACACGGGCACACACACACACACACACGAGCAGACACACACACGGGCAGACACACACACAGGCAGACAGACACACAGGGAGATACACACAGACAGACACACACACACGGAGATACACATACGGGGAGACACACACATCGAGAGAGACACACACGGAGAGACACGCACACGGGGAGACACGCACGGGGAGACACACACGGGCAGAGACACACACATACACAGGGATACACACACACGGGGAGACACACACGGAGACGGAGACACAGACACATAAATATACACGAATACACAGACTCACACACACGGAGACAGAGACGCAGATACACGGAGACACAGACACGTGGTGACACAAAGACACACGGAGACACAGACGCCCAAAATACACACGGATACACAGACTCACACACACACAGACATACAGACACACACGCATACATGCACCCAGACATACACACATAAACATACATTAATACACACGTGACAACACACACGCATGCATGCACTTACTGATATGAACACACACGCACGCACATACGCCCACACACGCATGAACACGCACACACACGTGCCAAACCCCTGCCTTGCCCACCAGTAGCCAGCGCCTCGTCAGCAGAATCCTCTTGACAGATTTGTTTTATTTGGTGACGATCTCGACGCAAGTCGAAGCCAAACCTTCGAGGAGCAAGAGGGGGGAGTGGGGTGGGGAGGCGTGGTGGATTCAAGTGCCCCGAGTGTTTACCTCTCTGCCCCAGACGCGCCCCGGCTCCCCCACTGCCCACTGGCCGGGGGGGGGGGGGTGGCTGCTTGTGTCTGGCCTGAGACGGAGAGGGCTTTTTGCACACACACAGAGTTTGGAGAGAGAGAGGACTTTGGCGCGTGTGCTATTGCATGCCTTGCGCGTGTGATATAATTATAGTGGGGGCGCCACGCTGGCGAGGAGATGTTAACTACCTCGCCTGGTATACAGGAGGTCGTGGGTTCGATCCCGACCCCGCTGTATATTTGGAGTTTGTATGTTCTCCCCGTTCTCGCGTTGATTTTTCTCTGGGGTCCTCCGTTTTTCTTTTTTACCCTCCACATTTAGAATGAACTCGCGTTCACAGTATTTGGCCGCCGTAAACCTCAACACGATGAAAAGCCACTTCGTTCAGCTATCACTTGTGACCAGGTCGCGTATGAAGAAAGAGCTGTACAACTCAGTGGGCCTTTACCTGGTGAAAAAACAAACAATTGTTCGTAGATTCAGTTTGTATTGGGGAGCGGCGGCGCAGTGGTTAGCGCTGCGCTACGAACTCTGGCTACCCGAGTTCGATCCCCACTCACGGGCCACCAGTCCCAGCGACGATTATATAAACCGGTCATGGAGGGGTGTAAGGGGTTTAAGAGGTTGGGGGGGGGGGGGGGTACTCGGGAGAGGTTGCCAAAACGATCGTGAACTCATTTTACCCGGCTCCAAGTGAGGCACAAATAATAGCCGATTGTTTTGGAGTTTTTCAAAAGCCAATTCTTCTTTTTGCCGAAGGTGGTGTGGGGGGCCTGGCGGGCCGCGGGGGGTGGGTGGGAGGGTGGCGAGGTGGGGGAGTCGCGGGCGGTGAGGATGGGGGGTGGCGTGTGTTTTAGTACAGCCTGAACGGCGTGTGGTGGTGGGTCGCGCCCCTGGTCCTGCTGAGTTTGATCAGAATCAGCTGAGAGGGCCCCTTCGCTTCTCTGAATGCCCGGTGAGTGAGAACAGAAACTAACAGCAAAAAAAAAGTCCCAAACACAACACGAAAATTAAAACCAAGTGAGGTGGCTCCCGTTGCACAAGAGGTCACAGACGCCGAGCCCCGCCACCCGCTGACATTCCTGAGTTCGAATCCGGCTGTCAGGCGCCTGGGATTATGCCGGGTTCTAATGTGAAGTCGCTTAGTAGCTCAAAGCACTGAGCCTGCACCCGCTGAGACTTCCGAGTTCGAATCCAGGTTCCAAGCCCCTGGGATTAAGCCAGGTTTCTCAAATGAGTTGGCCCAGCAGGTGGTGACGCTGAGCCGGCACCCACAGAGATCGAACCCACGACCACCTGCACACCAGGCGAGGGAGGTAACATCTCGCCATTGCAAGGCAGCACCCTCTGGGGGAAAAAAATAGAACAAGAAAACAAAAACCGGCAGCCCTGGAATTTGATGGCCTCGAGTTCCACCCCCTGACGGGAACGACCCACCCCCCCCCCTCTCGCTCCTCCCCCCTGCCACCCACCGTCCGTCTATGGCAGGGAAACTCACCACGAGGCCCGTGTGCCTCCAAGACCGCAAGCTGCCCGTCAACGGGAGCCGATGCAGCCACAGGGCCAAGCCCCCGAGCCGCGTGCTGCCCTGCAATGAGCAACCCTGCCCGCCGAGGTGAGCAGAGAAGGCGCAAGGGGGTGGGGACCGCCTGGCCCCCCCCCCCACACACACCCCTCCCCTACGGCCCTTGCCCCTCGGTGGTCGGTGCTGACGCTGCCCCACAGTAACGCGTGCACTCACACACATTCGACTCCAATAGGCTTTGCAGACTGCTCGGGAAAGTTACGTTTGCGAGCAGCTCCTATAATGGTGAAAACAGAGACAAATATTTCCCGTAAAGGCTTCGCGGAAAGTTTGGGAAAGTGCTGTGAGCGAGCAGCTCACATTAATGGGGTGGGTGGCCAACACCACGCCCCGGCCGCCTTTGTCTCCCGAAGTAGCGGGTTTTACACATCGCAGCAGGTACTTCTTTGAGGCTGAGTCGACCTAGGGGGAGGCCCAGGACCGGTTCATATAATTGTCAGTGCTGTTGGCCGTGAGTGCTAACCGCTACACCACTGCTCCCCACACACATACACCCACACACACACACCCACACACCCACACACACACACAAACACCCACACACATACACCCACACACACCCACACACACACACCCACACATACACCCACACACACCCACACACCCACACACAAACACCCACACACATACACCCACACACACACACACACCCATACACATACACCCACACCCACCCACACACACACCCACACACACACACCCACACACACACACCCACACACGCGTGCATGAGGCTCAGAGGGAGGATCGTACTTGAGGAGCGGATGCCGAGAGGCCAGGAGAGAGACTCTCACTGCTCCACTGTGAGGGAGGGAGTAGGGGGGGGGGCAGAGAGTAGGGGGGGGGGGGTGGGGGGGCAGAGAGTAGGGGGGGGCACTAGAGTCACATTTTCTCCGTGCTCAGTCAACGAGGGGGATCCTCGTTGTTTAACGTGGCGGGGGGGGGGGGGGCAAACGGGAGGTGGGGCCGTGGGGGGGAGGGGGTGTTCACGTGTCTGTGAGGAGCGGTGGTGTAGCGGTTAGCGCTACGCTGCACTACAAACCCGGCTGCCCGAGTTCGAGTCACGCTCAAGGCCAACACCGGTGACCGTTATCTGCACCGGTCGTGGGCCTCCCCTAGGTCGACTCAGCCTCAAATGAGTAACCTGGTGCGGTGTGTAAACATCGCCACTAGGGAGACAGGCACGGCCGGGCGTGGTGCTGGCCACCCAACCCCTCCTGTGCTGTGCCGGCCTTCATAGGTGCTCACTAACAGCACTTGCCCCAGCAGTCTGTTGAGGCTATGCGGGGGATCTTTGTCTGTGTGTGAGTGAGAGCGCAAGAGACCATCGGGTGGTTCAGCCTGGGAGGCTGCTGGTGACTTGATTAGATTTTCCCGCTCTCTCTCCGCCCTTAATATTCGCCTCTTTGAAAAAAAAATTATTAAAAATAAATAACCACGGCAGGGTTTGGAATGCCACGTTGATTTGTGTTGCCCTGGGAGGGCTGGGGGCGAGGGGGGGGGGGAGCTTGGCATAGCTTGTGGACTGCGTTGATTTCAGAATCATTCCTACTAGTGGAATCCGATGAGCTATAAAGCTCTGTTTTCACAGATGTCCGGTAGATTTGAGTTGAGCGAGCTATGGAGTGGATGAACTAACGTTAGCCACGCAGCAGGGAATCGAACTCATGTAGCCGGGTTCCTTGCCAGATTGCGAATATCTGAACCGGTGAGGAGCCTCCTCTAGGTCTACTCAGCCTTAAATGAGTACAATATCTGGTGCATTGTGTAAACACCACCACTGGTAAGGCAAAGGCGGCCTGCCGAGAGCGGTGTTGGTCCACCACCCCGCCGTGTGCCATGCCGGTCTTAATAGGTGCTCGCAGACATCTCTTGTCCCAAGTCTGTAAAGGGTACACGTGGGATCTTTGCCTTTGACACACGCACGAAATAACACACACACACACACATTCATATGAGCAAAGACAAAGCCTTAACAGACTATTGGGGCAAGTGCTGTTAGCGAGTAGCACCTTTAAAGGCCACAATGGTACGCGAGGGGGGTGGGTGGCCAGCACCACGCCCAACCGACTGGGGTGGTGGCACGGCAGAGGGCGAGCGTCCCTGTCTAGTGGATGTGGGGTGGTTTGAGCCAGTCCAGCTGGTACGGATTAGCCGCCTCGCTTCGGCCACACTGACGGATGGGGTGGGGGGGGTCGTGGGGATGGTGGGGGGGGGGGTCATGTCTGGCCTCACTCTCTCCGCCCCCGGCTGGGGGTGACCGCAGAATGAAACCGCGAGGCGTCAATCTGCCGAGACGACGCCGCAGATTGAGAGAGAGAGAGAGAAGGGGGAGAGAGAGAGAGAGAGATAGCGAGCGACGCTCACGTCGCAGTCTTTCGGCTGGCCATCGACCACAGACGTTCACTGGTATCGTACGCGTAACTCTCGGGTGATGTGCTCCTGCGGCCGTCTGGAACGCTCTTCCTTCCGATTATTAGGAAGACACTGGGAGCTGTGCACTTTTAAATCATCGTCATCTCGATTGTAGAGTCGCATAGAGACCCATAGACTCACAGGGACACGCAGATAATCATATCGAGACCCGTTGACTCACAGGGGCGACCCATACATTCATATAGAGACTCGGAGACACAGAGACTCGCATATTCACAGACTCTCACAGATTCAAATAGAGACACAGATTCGCATACAGACTCACATATTCTTCTTGGTTTTTTTCGGTAAAGTCACGTAGAATGAGAATAAAACAATAAAACAAAATAAGACAATACAATTCTCACGACGTTTCGGCCACAACACAAGTAGCCTTCTTCAGGTGAAGGAACAGAACTGTCGAGACGACAGCGCTTCAATGAAGCTACTTGTGTTGTGGCCGAAACGTCGTGAGAATTTTATTGTCTTATTTTGTTTTATTGTTTTATTCTCATTCTACGTGCCTTTACCGAAAAAACCAAGAAGATGAATCCTTGCAGTCACGAAAGCTTTAAATCAAATTTAGACTCACATATTCACACGGAGACCCACAGATTCACACGGAGACTCACAGATTCACAGAGACTCACAGATTCACAGAGACTCACAGATTCACAGAGACTCACAGATTCACAGAGACTCATATTCACATATTCACAGAGATTCACAGATTCACACGGAGACTCACAGATTCACAGAGACTCACAGATTCACAGAGACTCACAGATTCACAGAGACTCACAGATTCACAGAGACTCACAGATTCACAGAGACTCACAGATTCACAGAGACTCATATTCACAGAGATTCACAGATTCACACGGAGACTCACAGATTCACAGAGACTCACAGATTCAAATAGAGACTCACAGATTCACACGGAGACTCACAGATTCACAGAGACTCGCAGATTCAGAGAATCACAGATTCACAGAGACTCACAGATTCACAGAGACTCACATATTCACACGGAGACTCAGAGATTCACAGAGACTCACAGATTCACAGAGACTCACAGATTCACACGGAGACTAACAGATTAACAGAGGCTAACAGATTCACAGAGACTCACAGATTCACAGAGACTCACAGATTCACAGAGACTCACAGATTCACATGGAGATCCATTGACTCTGTTAAAAGTGTTGGCTAAAGCCCTTCATCGTCTCCTCCGCATGAGACGACCTCCTACCCCCCCCCCCCCCCGCTCTGTCTATATATATAGAATAAACACGGCCAATCTATCAGTACGGGCGTCCCGAGATGCGGCTCACATTCAGTGGGCGGGGTAAACCCCGCACAGGGCACAGCGGCGCGACAGTCGCCGGTCGCCTGGGAAATCCGCGGCGAGTTCCCCAGGGCTGCTGGTTCGCAGGAGGAGGAGACTTCCGAGTTATTTGACCTTGGATATTGACCGTGTACAGTGAGGGAAAAAAGTATTTGATCCCCTGCTGATTTTGTACGTTTGCCCACTGACAAAGAAATGATCGGTCTATAATTTTAATGGTAGGTTTATTTGAACAGTGAGAGACAGAATAGCAACAAAAAAATCCAGAAAAACGCATGTCAAAAATGTTATCAATTGATTTGAATTTTAATGAGGGAAATAAGTACTTGACCCCCTCTCAATCAGAAAGATTTCTGGCTCCCAGGTGTCTTTTATACAGGTAACGAGCTGAGATTAGGAGCACACTCTTAAAGGGAGCGCTCCTAAACTCAGCTTGTTACCTGTATAAAAGACACCTGTCCACAGAAGCAATCAATCAATAAGATTCCAAACTCTCCACCATGGCCAAGACCAAAGACCTCTCCAAGGATGTCAGGGACAAGATTGTACACCTATACAAGGCTGGAATGGGCTACAAGACCATTGCCAAGCAGCTTGGTGAGAAGGTGACAACAGTTAGTGCGATTATTCGCAAATGGAAGAAACACAAAATAACTGTCAATCTCCCTCAGCCTGGGGCTCCATGCAAGATCTCACCTCGTGGAGTTGTAATGATCATGAGAACGGTGAGGAATCAACCCAAAACTACATGGGAGGATCTTGTCAATGATCTCAAGGCAGCTGGGACCATAGTCACCAAGAAAACAATTGGTAACACACTACGCCGTGAAGGACTGAAATCCTGCAGCGCCCACAAGGTCCCCCTGCTCAAGAAAGCACATATACATGCCCGTCTGAAGTTTGCCAATGAACATCTGAATGATTCAGAGGACAAATGGGTGAAAGTGTTGTGGTCAGATGAGACCAAAATGGAGTTCTTTGGCATCAACTCAACTCGCCGTGTTTGGAGGAGGAGGAATGCTGCCTGTGACCCCAAGAACACCATCCCCACCGTCAAACATGGAGGTGGAAACATGCTTTGGGGGTGTTTTTCTGCTAAGGGGACAAGACAACTTCACCGCATCAAAGGGACGATGGACGGGGCCATGTACCGTCAAATCTTGGGTGAGAACCTCCTTCCCTCAGCCAGGGCATTGAAAATGGGTCGTGGATGGGTATTCCAGCATGACAATGACCCTAAAACACACGGCCAAGGCAACAAAGGAGTGGCTCAAGAAGAAGCACATTAAGGTCCTGGAGTGGCCTAGCCAGTCTCCAGACCTTAATCCCATAGAAAATCTGTGGAGGGAGCTGAAGGTTCGAGTTGCCAAACGTCAGCCTCGAAACCTTAATGACTTGGAGAAGATCTGCAAAGAGGAGTGGGACAAAATCCCTCCTGAGATGTGTGCAAACCTGCTGGCCAACTACAAGAAACGTCTGACCTCTGTAATTGCCAACAAGGGTTTTGCCACCAAGTACTAAGTCATGTTTTGCAGAGGGGTCAAATATTTATTTCCTTCATTAAAATGCAAATCAATTTATAACATTTTTCACATGCGTTTTTCTGGATTTTGTTGTTGTTATTCTGTTCAAATAAACCTACCATTAAAATTATAAACTAATGATTTCTTTGTCAGTGGGCAAACGTACAAAATCAGCAGGGGCTCAAATACTTTTTTCCCTCACTGTATATATTCATTTCATTTTCCCATCGGGTGACTTTGAAGAGGGACATTTGGGAAAACGTTTCCTTGAGCGCAAGGACACGGGGGGGAGGGCGGGGTGGGGGGGTGCCGATAGTCCAAACCGAGGAGTCGTCTCGTCGAGCAACAGCAACCCCCTGAGACGTGGCGAGTGGAGCTGATGGAGCTTTCAGAATGGAGACACCACGGTGTGCTAGATGTTAATGACCTAGCGTGGTATGCAGGAGGATCGTGGGCTCGATTCCGACCCCTGCCGACGCCTGCTGCTGTATATTCGGAGTCTGCGTGTCTCTCTCTCCCCGTGGTGGCGTGGATTTTTCTCCGGGCTCCTCCGGTTTTTCCCTCCACATTTAGAATCAACATCACGTGCTTAGAGTGTTTGGCTGTTGCTATAAATTGCCACACGCTAAGCCACTTCGTTGAGCTATCATTTGTGGCAAGGTCGCTTCTGAAAAGAGCTACATAGCTCAGTGGACCTTTCCTAGTAAAATAAAGTAAAAAGTTGAATAGTCTAATGAATCGGAAGAGCACACTAGGGTTATACATTGCCTTAGATGGGCAGACAGGCATACAGGGCAGTCCAATGCACTTGGCAGATGTTCAGACCAATGCACAGACACATACAGACAGAACGACACACGCGGACAGACCAATACACACGGAGAGACAGACAGACACACAACACACGCACACACGTGTTGAATAACACACGTACATACAGATGTATGTTGAACTTCTTTCACACCGTACGTAGCCAACCGTGATAATCGGAGATGAACACGTAAACACACAGACGTAGAGAGAAAGTCAAACAGTGTCTCAACAGCATACAGAAAGGCCGAGACATACCGACTCAGAAACAGGCAGGCAGGCAGGCCGAGAGACAGACAGCGAGGTTTACCAACAGACGTAAAAACAGACAGACAGACGGAGTGACATGCCAAGACACAACAGAGCAAACAGAGGCATCGTGTGTTCCACGTGGACTCTGCTCTATGTCGTGTGTCACTGCGCGACACAGCCGACGCACATTGGCGAGCAAACACCGCACAGAGCCAGGAGTCGAACCCAGCTCCTGTTGTCTGGAGCGCAGCGAGCATCACGACTCAGCCTCAAATGAGTACCTGGTGCGGAATGTAACCATCGCCACTGGGGAGACAAAGGCGGCCGCGCGTGGAACTGGCCACCCACCCCCATTCGTGTGCCGTGACGACCTTCATAGGGTGCTTAGTACTCGCTCACAGCACTTGCCCCAACAGTCCGCTGAAGGCTATACGGGTGATCTTTGTCTTTGTGCGTGCGCGTGCTCGCAGCTGGCAGGCGGGCGATTGGACGCCGTGCTCGCGCTCGTGCGGGGGGCTCGGCGAGCAGACCCGCCCCGTGTCGTGCACCCAGCGGGTCGCGGGGGGCCGCCTCGCCGCCCTGCCCCCCTCGGCGTGCCCCGAGGCCCTCGCGCCGCCCCGGAGCCGCCCGTGCAACGCGGCCGACTGCCCCCCAGCCTGGCACCCGGGCGCGTGGTCGCAGGTGGGGTTCCAAAGTTTTACATTGGCACCCCCCCACCCTCACCGCTACTCCCCCCACCACCCACCAACACCCCCCCCCACACACACCCACCACCTCTCAACACTCACAACCCCCACCTCTCCCTACCCCCACCTCCATCCACCTCCTCCACCCATCCCCTCCGTCCACCTCCTCTCAACCCACGAACCTCCTCCTTCTCCTCCTCTCCCTCCTCGCCCCCCCAGTGCTCCAAGACGTGCGGGCGAGGCGTGAGGACGCGGGAGCTGTGGTGCCGCGTGGAGGGCGCCGGCGGCGAGTCGCCGCGTGCCGTGCCCAACGCGCGCTGCCGTGGCCTCGCGCGGCCCGCACGCAAGGAGAAGTGCTCCCTGCACAAGCGCTGCAAGAGCCCCCAGCACCTGCAGTGGGTGCTGTCCGCGTGGTCCGAGGTAATCACGACTTGAAGCTGCGACTAAATGTGTAGTTTCACCAGGTCAGGCCCCAACTGAGCTATGTATCGCTACTTTTTTTGTGTGTTTGTTTTCGGAAGCGACCTGGGCCATCGCAGATGATAGCTCGCCCGAAGTGGCGAGCTATCCCAATACCAGTGCCCCCGCAATTCGGCCACCGAGTGACGGTGACGTCACCACGGCGCCTGTGCCAGGCCAGGTGCACGTTGAGGCCACGTGAAGTGTCGAAGGCTCGCTGACAGCGACATATCCTTCAGGTGTCATAGGTCAGCTGACTGGGATCACCGGAAGATGCACCAGCTGTACCCCATACAGTGCATAGTTGCTGTATTTTAGCCGCCCGGCGTTCCGCTCGTTGTTGTGAGCGTCGCTCCTCTGCCCTCCGTTGTTGCTGGAGGGCGACTGCCTCCAACTGCCCAGTAGCAGCAGCAGCAGCGTCCTTCACGGGCCTCCTCGTGGCCGGATCGTCATCGTGTGGACATTCATTGAAAGCAGCCACCCACTTCGCAGGTAGCCCCGCCCACTACTCTCCTAGTCCCGCCCACTACTCTAGTAGCCCCACCCACTCCAAACTAAAAACTATTTTCATTTTACCAGATGGAGCCCACTCAGCGATGTCGCTTTTTTTTCAGCAGCGACCTGGCCATCACAAAGTATAGCTCAACGAATTGTCTTTTCATCGCGTGCGAATGTATATCAGCGGCCACGTACTCTCTAAACGCACATCGATTCTAAGATGCAAAAGGGAAAAACCGGAGGAAAAATCCCCACGACCACGGTGAGACACGCAAACTGCAAATCTAGAGCAGGCGTCAGGGCTGAGATCGAAGCCAGACCTCCTGCATACCGGGCGAGGTAGTTAACATCTCGCCACCCCACGGTCGTGCCAGGACACCGCTGCTGGGCCCAATGCCACGACCACCGCCATCAATGTTACTCTCAACATGGGACCTCTTTGTGCTGGTCGTCTTTTGGTGTCCTCTGGTCGAACGCTGGTTGAGACCAGGCCCTAAAGAAGGCTGTCTCTGGTGTAGAGAGCAGTCCGTTTCAAAGACAATGCCAAGTATCACCGGAGCACGAGGCCGTAGCCATGGAGTCAACATTGGGGGGGACCAAATCTTCCAGGGGGTCTAGGGCTCCCCCCTCCCAAGAAAAAAAAACCCCTAAATTTTTACAATGTCTAATAGTGTATTGTATGATATTGGTGTTTTTGTTCAATTTTACCTTTTCTTGTTTCATTGTATATAATGACAGATATTAAGGATTTATAAAGTCCAACCATAACCACAATCATATAAACAGAAATCTATGCATTGTTATATGAAGACAAGTCCAGATATTGTGGCCAAGGTTTAGCAAATTGCAGTTTTTATTTCCATAGCATAGATTTTTTTATATATATATTGTTAATAGCAATATACTATGGGGGTGGGACATTTTGAACAATGTATATTATAATTACGGCCTTGCCGGAGCATGTGTTTGCATGATCAACGCAAGTACCGTGCGTGGTTAATGCAGTACATGATTCCTTGCGCAAGGTTTCCGTTCGGTGTTTGAACATCTTAACACCATCCTTAGACCCCCTTTTGGCAGAACCAAAATATAATAAGTGTTTTCCCCTTTTTTTTTAATAGTGAATTGTCTTTGAGCTGTACGTCTTTTGGCGTCCTCTGGTCTAGCACCAATTGGGACGAGGCTCAAAAGAAAGCCGTCTCTGGTGTGGACCAATCAGTTTCAAGGACAATGCATCATATTATCAGTGTGGTTTTTGTTTGCATTTCCACAAGTATTGTGGTTAATGCAGTAACATGATTCCTTGTAAAAAGGTTGCAGTTTTGTTGCCAGAAAAAAAGGGGGAAAACCCTATTATTATCATATAATCTTCACACCAGTTGTATTGTCAGAAAGAAGGCTAAAACCTATTCCTGTTACTCTCACCCCTTGCCCCCCCCCCCCCCCCCCCAGTGCTCCGCGTCGTGCGGCGTGGAGGCCACGCAGTCGCGGGAGTTGCGTTGCGGGAGGAAGAGCTCCTCCTCTGGCCGCATCCGGGAGCTCCCCGAGCGGCGCTGCCACCGCGTGGCCCAGCCGAGCGTGGCGCTCACGCGGCCGTGCGCTACGAACCCCGGCGGCGGCGGCGGCGGCGGCGGCGGCGCCGTGCCGTGCCCCCCCGGGGCCTCGCAGGCGCAGCAGCCGCCGCTGCCGGGGGGCGGAGCGGCTCCGGGTCCCACCCGTCGCTCGCTCATCAGCAACGCGCTGTCGGGGTGGTACGCGGCACCCTGGACGCAGGTGGGTTACCGCGGGATGCTCGGCGAGCCTCGGAGTGGGTGGAGGGGGTGGTGGAGGAGCGGGTGGAGGAGGTGGTGGAGGGGGTGGAGGATGAAGTGGTGGAGGTGATGATGGTGGTGGCGTCTCAACAACTCCAATTCGTCAATAAGTGCGTGGCCTTAAAATAAAAAATATAATGAAGGCTCACTGCCCCGAAACGTCACCTATTGAATATATTTAACGCCTCATTCGAGCAGTCAAACTCCCTTTGACACCTGCGCCCCAGCGCGTCGCAGAGCGTCGTGAGTGTTGGGAGGTATCCCATGCGTGCGCGTGGTTTTTCTTCCCCGTTGTGTTGCGACGACGACGTCGACGAGGAGCAGTGCGCGGCGACGTGCGGCGGCGGCGAGCAGACGCGCTCGGTGCGCTGCCTGGCGCAGGGCAAGCCTGCCGTGGGGTGCCAGCCTCACCACAAGCCGGCCACCACGCGGGCCTGCAACAGCCAGGCCTGCCCAGGACACGCGGGTGAGTCTGGTTGACCCGCACCGCGGCGCCACGGCTGACGAAGGCGGTCCGGGCGCGTGTGATGACCTCTCCGCCCGTTCGTTTCACCGTGCCGGCCTTCGCGTACGTATGATCAACTTCTTTCCCACCGTACGTAGCCAACCGCGCTTAATCGGGAGGTTATACGGGTGCGACTCGCGATCGTCACTTGCCCCAAGTTGTAAATGATATATGGGGGAGCTTTGTAATTGTGTGCGTGGTGGTGCGTGAAGCGTGCTGTGCTATGAACCCAGCGGACCAGAGCTCGATCTCCGGCCTCGGCCTTAAAATGAGTACCTGGTGCCGCGCGTAGCAAACACGGGCACCGGGGAGACAAAGGCGTCCGGGCGTGGTGTTGGCCACTCCGCCTGTTCGTTTCGCCGTTGCCGGCCTTCGTGGGTGCTGCTCGCTGACAGCACTTGCCCCAACAGTCTGTCGAGGCTACACGGGAGGGGGGGGGGATCTTTTGTCTTTGTGTGTGCAGGCGAAGTGCCGGTGTGCCGGGATCACTACACGTGGTGCTCGCTCGTGCCGCGCCATGCCGTGTGCAGCCATCCGTTCTACGGGAAGCAGTGCTGCCAGGCCTGCACGCCGTCCAACCTCATCACCCGATGAGCTGCGTCACACACACACACGCAGTACCCTCGCCAACCTCATCATCTGAGCAGCGTCACACACACACGCGCACTCACCAACCTCATCCGATAAGCAGCGTTTTGCACACAGTACACACATACACGTATCGAGCACTGTCTCACCATGACAGCCACGCAAGTGGCGGCAACGTCACCGCAGCGCTTGTGCCAGGCGAGGTGCACCCTGAGGCTTATGGCGTGACGTGTCAAAGGCTCACTGCTGGCAGGTCACGGGAGACCAAAGGTGCCATGGGTACGACCGAGATGACTGGCAGATGCTCGCCACCGTGCCAACTGGGCGCACACAAATTGGCACGCACTTAGTACACAAAGATCCCCCATACAGCCTTAACAGACTTTTGGGGTAAGTGCTGTGAGCGAGCATCTTTGAAAGTCGGGACGGCACACGAGGGAGTGGGTCGCCAGCACCACACCAGACCGCCTTTGTCTCCCCAATAGCGATGTTTACACATCGAGCCAGGTACTCATTTGAGGCTAAGTCGACCTAGGCGAGGCCCGATACCGGTTCAAATAATCGCCACTGTTATTGAGCGGGAATCGAACTCGGGTCGCCGGGTTCGCAGCATAGCGTGCTGACCACTACACAGCCGCTCTCCACACTTACTCCGAGACACTGTTCACACACAGCACAGTGTACACTTCAACACATCACCACCTTCACACATCAACATCATCAGCTTGACACATCATTATCATCTTGACACATCACCTTAACACATCATCACCACCACCTTGACAGTTGGTCCCGTGTGGCCTCCCAAACCCCGCTAAACCCGCACAACGCCTTGTGCCTTCAGCTCACAATGGGCCCTCCATGACCTCTCATGAAGGCAGGGGCCCAAATCACCATGCGAGATGTTAACTACCTCTCCTGGTATACAGGAGGCCGTGGGATCAACCCGGACCCCGACGCCTGCTGTATATAGTATTTGGAGTTTGCGCGTGGCTTATCACGTGCCGATTTATCGCAGCCAAACACTCAAAACGCGTGACGTTGATTCTAAATTTGGGAGGGAAAAACCGGAGGACCCGGAGAAAAAAAACCATGTGACCACGGGGAGAGAGAGAGACACGGAAACTCCAAATATAAAGGCATCGTCGAGTCGGGATCGAACCCACAACTTGCAAACTCCAAATATAGAGGCATCGTCAGAGTCGGGATCGAACCCACGACTTTCTGTATAGCAGGCGAGGTAGTTAATAGCGCCCACTGCAGCGACAAGGTATGACAAAACTTTAAGGTATGACAAAGTCACTGCAGTGGCATCACTGCAGTGTCACTTGAAAGTCATTGGCAACTTTTCGGGGGCTACTTGGGGGAGAAGCCGGGGGCATCACAAACACCACACAGCCTTGGTGGTTTGAAGCTACAAGAGCAGCTTGCCAGATTTGGATGTCGCATCTTAAGTTTTAAAGACGTCTTTAAAGTCGTAAGCAGCTGCTGTGGGGGGTGATGAAGGGTAACGACGCAGACACGAAGAAAATAAATCAGGATAACATAGTGGAGCATGCGAAGTTTAATAAGCGTGTGCGCACGCGCGCGTGTGTGTATATCTATAAATATGCAGACACGGTACAAATATAAGACAAATAAATCGCTTAAAAGCTCTTGTAACTGCTCTCCTTAAGAGGGCAACAATGAGCCCCCTGTGCTGCACGGGGAAGTTGTAGATTCACCAATGTGAAATGTACCATAAGAATGGCTTTTGCACAGTATTTTCCTTTTTTTGTATTATTGTTATCAATGATATTATTATTTACTACTACTACTACTACGTTTTGGTGCTCTCCAGTCAATTGTAATGGACTGATAGACGTTGCAATATTTGTGATGTTAATGCAAACGGAAGGAAACACGACGGAAGGAAAACCCATTGCACACGCATTAACTCAACTTCCCAAAGGTCTCGCACCCAACGCGTTCGTTATTTCGTCCCGTGTATTTAATCAGTCGGAAAAAAAATAAAAGACAAGAATTTGGGCGCTGGGATTTAAAAAAAAAATGTACGCAAACCCTTCCATCGATGTGGCCCGTTTTCTCGACAGTCGAGTCCCTACCGGCGAAGCGGCATGCTCGATACTCAAAGTTGCGTCGACATTGGATCATCGTCACGAAGCGTTATTGTGGCCCCGAGTTGAATAATCGTTAAAAATCCATTGAGGACATAATCGGTGAGCCTCATGCAGAGATCACTTACCCTGTTGGTGCTCGAAAAGGTCTAGCTGCGCGCCCCATCCGGCTGCCGGGAGTTCACCTGCTGGAAGATTAATCGTCGCCAATCGGATCGTTTGCATTGATTTCACGACGGAACTTTCACGACCCTACGAATTCGTATGGAATGGTCACGTGTGCGCGAATTGCCACGATTTGGGACGCATCGTCGCGTTACGATGGACCGTCGCAAGCAATGCACTGTAAACTTTCTGATGAATTGTCACCGATTGGACGAAGCGTTCCACGTTCTGTGATGTGTCAAGATCGGACGAATCGTCACGTTTCCGGTGAATTGACACAATCGTATAATGTGTCATATTTGGTGAATTATGAAGTTTCGCATTTCCTTTGAATTGACACAATAGTGAGAAGGATGTCGCCTTCTCCGTGAATTGTCACGATTGCGTTCGTTGTCGCGATCGGCTGAAACGTAAAAAAAAAACACACATTTCCAGACGATCCCAATTCAATGAATCGTCGTAATTCCACGACAGACTCACGGGGCGGCAACACGCCTGGTTACTTTTTACGATTTACCCGAAAGGTTGACAATCACAGGAAATCCATACTAAAGGGAGGGGTTTTTTTCGTGTGTCGTGAAACCCGCCACCACCCGACACAGCCAATGTGTAAGGTTTAAGCACGTAAACAAAACGACACTTTAATATATAGACCGTCTAACCCAAAACGAAACGCCCCTTGATTATGGACAACATTTGCAAGGACATTCACTTCCGGTGAACGTCCTGCCAAAAGCGACGTCGCGTTTTGTTGGCCCGGTGACGCGTCTCAATTGTGATAGTGAGACGAGCCGCTGTATTATCAACAGAGATCCCATATTGTCTTTTGAAAGAAAAAAAACCTCAATATTTCGAAATCCTCTTTTGAAAAAAAAAAAAATAGAACTCGCCCCCTCGTGTAAACCTCGAAGGACATCGTCGTCCAGAAAACGTTTCCTGTAACAGACCGCCGTTATGCGAATTAACTAGTCTCACACGTGTGTAAAACGAAAAGGAAATATTAAAACATAATGACGGACAGCGGCTGCACAAACCTCGCAGCGGAACTCAAAATGTATAAAGTAACCATGTCGTATTAGCAGTTAGTCGACGGATCAGCAGGTCGCGTGCGCTGGGGGGTAAAGTGTGGGCAACTCCCGTCGTCTCCTAAGACGTCTTGCCAGCATACACGAGTCGACGCACGTACCCTCTCCGGAAGGGGTGGCTCTCTAAGTCTCCCACTAGCAGAGGGCCGCTTCCTCCGGGAGGAGCGTGAGCAGGCAATAGCAGAGCCGAACCCTTCCTCTGTCTATCAGAACAAAGCATGAAGCCCTCTGCGATCCAAACACTGCGGTGCGTGGAGGCGCTCCCGTGCTAAGAGCCAGCTTGTGTGTCCGGCTCGTTGTTGCGTGGCTCCTACCATCGACGGTATTCTATTGAAACTCTCGATCTCGGCGGGCACTTTCGCAGCCCTCTGAAGGGCCACGCGAACGCGAGGTTGGTGGTGGCAGCGGGGAGCGGGGCGGTAAGCGGCGTACAACGGAGTTTCCCAACTTGCGTGCGGGTGCTCGGGCGCGTCGATCGGTGCCGAGAGAAGAAACGGATCGACGGTTTTCACCGGGGGTCACACAGGTCATGGCGATTCGATGACCACTTGTCACCGTCGGCTCACGACGACGTCGCGGGTGTCGTTCGGCGTCACGGTCTCGCGTCTCCGGGGGGGGGGGGAGGGGGGGGAACTGAATCTATTAAAGCATTTTTTATTTCACCAGGTAAAGGCCCACTGAGCTATGCGGCTCTTTTACAGAAGCGACCCTGGCTATCGCAAATTATAGCGCAAGGAAGTTGCTTGTCATCACGTGGACATTTATAGCAGATAAATACTCGTAAACGTGTGGTGTTAATTATAAATGTGGAGGGGAGAAACGGCAGGGGAATCCACGCGACCACGGGAAAGCGAGAGAACACGCAAACTCCAAATATGCAGCAGGCGTCAGGGTTGGGATACAACCCACGACTTCCTGTATACCAAGCGAGGCACTTAACATCTCACCATCGTTTGACGGGTTGCTCGTGGAGATGGTGCCAGTGCGCGTGGAGCAAAACGTCGAACTTATTCCTCATTCCTGTCACCCTTGTCCGAAATTCCCTTCACCGACGGCGATCGTTGGCAGAATCCGTTCTTCCCCCGTACCCCCTTCTCTTTGCAGCACTTGTCAAAAGTAATCTTCGTTCATTAGTTTTATGAAAAAATATATTAATGATAACTTTTTGGCAGGTGGGCAGGATGGGGCTGGGAGAGTGAGCGGGCAAACGGTCGAAACTCCGCACCTCCGATTAGCCCGGTGGGCTACGTACGGCGCGAAAAAAATTCAACGTACGTACAAAACCGAGCAAACGAATGCGACGCGGCCGTTTAAATTGATTTCACAAAATGGGTTCGTTCGTACCAACGAGACAGCACCCCCATAAACCCCCCTAACCCCCCGCCGCCGCCGCCCCCCATAAAGAGAACATTCGTAGGGAGGTCCTTACGGAGAAGACAAGTTTCGATTTCGTCAATTGATTCTCGTGCGCACACTCTCACACTCTGCCTGTGTCTCTCGCGTGCGTGCGTGCGATCCTCACGCCTTGTACATTGTGTACAGACCGTCGGGTTCGTGTGCAGGCCCTGTCATGTATTTACATTTACACACTTGTCTCTTCTCTTTTGTAATAATAAATAAAAACAATTTACGTCACCAACGTGCGCACCGGACCCGAGTCCTACTCTGTTCGCGCGCCGATGCGTGTTTTATTAATTCATGCGCATTTTGTTTCGTGTGTTGGTTAGCATTCTTTCGCACCACCGTGCGTAGCCCACTGCGCTAATCGGAGGTGCGCGCAGGGCAGGGGGGGGGACACAGCGAAAACAAATCAAAATCACATAACGTGCGTCGTCGCTACAGCGTCAAAGTGTCCATGACCAGATCAGCCGTCAATGCGTCCGGCCGTACCACGCTCACTCAGACGGAGGCTCAGCAGAGGGGGGTTCGGGCCCAAATGACGACACTGATGATTGACACTAGGTAGGCGTCTTGCATGGGTGACCGCCGGTGACCGACTGGGACTAAAAGTCGGCCCAGGCAATTGTAAACATACCGGCCCAAATTCGGGCTATGGGCAATTACTTATTTTTCAAATGAGTTGTGTGACAAATTGTGTACAACAGATCCCCTTTTAACGAGCACCCCTGTTAACAACGAATCACTTCACGACAGGCCTCCATACAGCCCAATGTGTAGTGTCTAGTAGTGTAGTGCTTAGTAGTGTAGTGCATAGTGTAGTGTATAGTAGTGGTAGAGTAGAACCCATCTAAAAGAGGACCCCTGTTAACGACTAATCGCTTTACGATGGGTCTCAAAGAGCCCAGTGTGTTCGCTTACCGACCATTCCCCTGTCAACGGCGGGCTGTTGTAGGTAGAGTAAATCTCAAATATTGCACAACTGGTCATCACAGGCTAATGACAACCGAGACCTCAACATGGATACCTCGTCGCAGACTCAGATCCCCCCTGCTGGGATCATGCTGCTGCTGCCGCTGTCACCATCCGAGAGTCTCACCCAGGTCTGGAGGAAGGCTGCCGCTACCGCTGCTGCCATCGGCGAACGGAGTGGAACACCGCGGGCCCCTCCAGAAGGAACTCCTCGTTCGAGAATAAAACGTCGTCGCACCTCCTCCTGGCTTCGACATTCCTCGTCCTCGAAGACACTGCTGGTGTGACCATCAACTGCACAATCAGGACATGGTCAGCAGGACGATGCGCACATCTCCTTTGTAAAGACAGTTGTGCGATTGTGGTCATACAACCCATACTATGGACTGTATAGCAAACCCAGAGAGAGATACCCAAGGAGGCCCATGGAGATACGCAGAGATACATAGTAGACAAACCACAGGAGTGCAATTGTGTCCATGCAATACAACTCAATGGTTTAGTCGGATGCACTGCGATCGATGGCATTAGCCGAGCCTCCTGCCTCGCTCTCGCTCTGTCACAAAAAAATAATATTCCTAATTAATCGTTAAAATGGCACATCAACTGCAAATTAAACGGAAATAATTACATGAACCGCAGCGAAGAGAAACACGAACCCAAAAAAAGAAAAACCTTTAAATCCTATCACAGAAAGTGTTCTCCCTTCTCTGCCCCCCCCCACCTACCGCTGCTCCCAATGACTCAAACTCTCAGCAGGGATTAAATTAATCGCAAGAGGACGAATTCACTCACGGGGATAGATTGAGATTACCCGTCAAGAAAACATCGCACGGCTTTACAATCTCTCCTCTGTCTTGACTCGCCTCACCCCTCCTCCTATCATCTCACTCTTCATCATCATCCACAGCGTGAGACTATTACTCGTCTCCCATCGTCAAGTAACCGTAACGGTTACGGGTGCAGCAGTGGCGAGATGTTAACTCCCTCGCCTGGTGTGCAGGAGGTCATGGGTTCGATCCTGATCCCGACGCCTGCTGCTGCTGTATATTTGGAGTTCGCGTGTCTCTCTCCCTGTGATCGCGTGGATTTTTCTCCGGGTCCTCCGGTTTGTCCCTACACGTTTAGTTAGCAACAACGTGTGTTTAGAGTATTTGGCTGCAATACATTTCCACATGATAAGCCACTTCGTTGAGCAATCATTTGTGAGCAGGTCGCTTGTGAAAAAGAGCAATGTAGCTCAGTGGACCTTAACGTTGTAAAATAAAAATGGTTTAGTTGAATAGTTTAGTTTAGTAACCACAACCCTAACCTCAACCCCTGCACAAGACACCCCCACCTTGAGTGCAGATGGAGTGAAGGAGGGTTTAGCCGCAATGAAGACGATGACCAAGGCGTTGTTGCTGCCAATGCCTTGGTGATGGAATGGGCGCCACAAGTGGTGCAGAAACCGTAATGCGCTTGGTACGCTGTGGTACAGCTGTCACATCTGGTGTGGAGTGCCCCGTTCCTAGCTCACCGCTCACCCCTCACCAATCCAGTCACTCAATTGCTCACCCATCGACCCAGCCACCAGTCACTCACCCACCCATTCACGCACCCAATCACTCACTCACCCATCCACCCACAGCACCCTCTCATTCACCCAGCCACCCACTCACCAATTAAACAGATAGAATTCAGCGGGAAGTAGCAATCTGGGTGACTGACGATGCGGCACTCACCAATTCACTCTACTGACTCGCCCACCCACCCACCCACGCATTCACTCACCCAGACACTCGCTCACCCACTCACTCACTCACTCGCCCACACACTCGGCAAGAATGATTCAAAGAAAGAAAAAAATAATCGCAAAAGGGACAATTATCTACCCGCAAAAATTTTTTCTCTCTCTCCCTGTCTGTCTTCTCTCTCCACACACCCCTCTTCTCGTCTCTATTTTCATCTCATCTCTCGCTCGCTCGCTCTCCCTTTCCCTCTCCCTTTTCCTCTCTCACGCGCGTGGCCCTCTCCCCGACGTGACGGCACGCCATGGCTGGATGCTCCGCCGCCCGCTCTGCCCGCCACCTGCTGTGGCCTCCCGGTGATTTCAATTTAAAACTGAGATGCCACTTGCAGCCCAGTTGCACTTTCGCAATATGAAACACCACCACAGCTACTACTACATTCTTTCACTTCTCCAGACGCACACTTTAAATTGGCGCGCGCGCGCGTGCGTGTGTGTGTGCACGCGTGTGTGTGCGTGTAGTGCTCGCAATCAGCACTTGCCCCAACAGTCTGTTCAGGCTATACGGGGGAGGGGGGGGGCGCGATGTTTGTGCGTGTGTATTGTGCACGCAGCGGTAAGCGCATTTCGCTACAATCCCGCCTACGAAAACCAGTTGGATTCCCGCTCACGGCCACCGACACCAGTGAAGATTATCTGAACCGGTTCTGCGCCTCCCCTAGGTCGAATCAGCCTCCAATGAGTATGTATGTTGAACTTGTATCGCACCGCACGCAGCCAGCCGTGCACATCGGAGGTACAAGTACCTGGTGCAATGTGAAAACATTGTTACTGTGGAGACGATAACCCCCCACACGTATAGCGTCAACAGACTGTAGGAGCAAGTGCTGTTGGCGAGTAGCACCAATGGAGGCCGGCACAACACAGGAGGTGGATGGGTCGCCGGTACCACGCCCGGCCGCCCGCTCACTACACACCGCACCAGCTACTCATCTGAGGCCGAGTCGACCTATGCGAAGGCCCATGACCGGTTCAGATAATCGTCACCCGTGTTGGCGGGCCGAGAGCGGCGATCGAACTCGGGTCACCGGGTTCGTAGCGCAAGCGCGCCAACCGCTACGGGACCGGCGGTCCCCTCGCGTACACTCGCATCACCAGCACGTGCAGACACGCACACGCTCGCATCACCAGCACGTGCAGACACGCACACCCTTGCATCACCAGCACGTGCAGACACGCACACGCTCGCATCACCAGCACGTGCAGACACGCACACCCTCGCATCACCAGCACGTGCAGACACGCACACGCTCGCATCACCAGCACGTGCAGACACGCACACGCTCGCATCACCAGCACGAGCATGTGAAGCCTAGCTCCGTGTCCAGGGTGACACTTCGAGAATTAAAGCAATATTGCTCGGCAGAGGGGGGCCACTGCTTTGTAATTAGCAGCTGTTGGCAGCGCCTCTCAAGACAGAAACGGTCTCGAAGGGTGGGGGGGGGGCAGAGGGAGCGGGGGGAGGGGGTCGCCCCCGCAGACCATCGCACCATGTGCTACTCCTCACGTCGCTCGGGGCAGGACGATAGACTTTCCTAGACCCCCTGAGGCACACCGCCGCACACCCCCCGCTCTCCGCCCCCCGCCCCCGACTACGTGAGGTCTGACAAAAGAAAGTGAATGGAGATGTCAGCTACTTCGCCTGGTATGCAGGAGGTCGCATATTTGGCTGTTGCTGTAAATTGCCACACGCTAAGCCACTTCGTTGAGCTATCATTTGTGGCAAGGTCGCTTCTGAAAAGAGCCACATAGCGCAGTGGACCTTTCCTAGTAAAATAAAGTAAAAAGTTGAATAGTCTAGTGAATCGGAAGAGCACACTAGGGTTATACATTGTCTTAGATGGGCAGACGGGCATACAGGGCAGTCCAATGCACTTGGCAGATGTTCAGACCAATGCACAGACACATACAGACAGAACGACACACGCGGACAGACCAATACACACGGAGAGACAGACACACAACACACGCACACACACAGATACATGTGTTGAATAACACACAGTACATACAGATGTATGTCTTCAGGGTATTTGGCTGCTTTACATTTCCACGTGATAAGCCACTTCGTTGAGCTTTCATTTGTGGCAAGATTGCTTCTGAAAAAAGAGTTATTTATAGCTCAGTGGGCCTTATGTGATGAAATTAAAATAGCTGAGCTTTGAGTTTTAAAACATCGGTTAGACGGCCAGGTGATCATCGTCCCTCTGTTTGTCCGCACGGTGGTCACTGAGCGCAGGAGCCCAAAGAGGCCAGCAACAATCAGCACTACCGTCACAGTTGTAACAGATGAAGAGTGTCGTTTTTTTATATCTCGGGCAACGTTATTGTTATTACTGTTGTTATAAAGAGCTTGGGGGAAAGGAGACGATGATGGGAGGAATGAATTGCAAAGTGGAGCATTGGTGCGAGGGGAGTAGCGGAGAGAGAGAAGTGAGGTGAGCTGCACTGTGGTGAGTGGGTGGGCGAGAGGGTGAGAGGGTGAGAGGGTGAGTGGGTGAGAGGGTGAGAGGGTGAGTGGGTGAGTGGGGAGCGGAAGTGAAGCGGTTAGAACGCTGGCGCTACGAACCCGATGATCCGGGTTCGTTTCCTGCTCCCGGCCAACACTAGCGACTATCATCTGAACGGGTACTGGGCCTCCCCTAGGTCAACTCAGCCTCAAACGAGTACCTGGTACGGTGTGCAAACATCGCCACTCAGGAGACAAAGACGGCCGGGCGTGGTGTTGGCCATCCACCCCCTATAACAGTGTGCTGTGCCGGCCTTCGTAGGTGCTACTCGCTAACAGCACTTGCCTCAACAGTCAGTTAAGTTCACACGGGGGATCATTATGTGCTGGTGAGTGAGTGGGCTTGTGAGTTGGCGAGTGGGTTGGGTGAGTGAATCGCTGATTGAACGGGTGTGTTGTAGATGACGAGTCAGTGTCTGGTCGACCCGGGTCCTCGACACACGCGTGATGCAGGAGGAGGCACCCGACTATAGTCGATCACGGGACACGGCAACCGTGGCGGGTAATAGCGATAGCAGACTGACGAGGAGGTGACTGACTGCCGGCGGGCGGGCGGGCGGGCGAGCGAGCGGCTGTTGCGAATCGGCGAGCACCGATTCATTAGCAACAATAACTAAAAATACCAGTTTTCATGTGCACGATTCTGCACGCGAGCATCGAGTGTGAACGGTGAATCATCGGGACCCGGTTGGCTGCCCCCGCTGTGGTTCTAATTAGCTGCAGCGGCGTGCGCATCTCACAAACATCCTCCTCCTCGCCCGCCAACGACGCTCGCAGCTCCGCTCTGCGAGCACGCCATGCTCACGCTGCCGGCGCTGTCGGGGTAGAGAGTCGTCTAGAGACAAAACAAGAGACACGGGAGACACGGGAGAGACGAGAGACACGGGGAGACACGGGGAGACACGAGAGACACGAGAGACACCAGAGAGACACCAGAGACACCAGAGACACGAGAGACACGAGAGACACCAGAGACACGAGAGAGAAGAGAGACACGAGAGACACGAGAGACACGAGAGAGACACCAGAGACACGAGAGACACCAGAGACACGAGAGAGACCAGAGACACCAGAGAGACCAGAGACACCAGAGACACGAGAGAGACACGAGAGACACGAGAGACACCAGAGACACGAGAGACACCAGAGACACGGGAGACACGAGAGAGACAAGAGACACGAGAGACACGAGAGACACCAGAGACACGAGAGACACCAGAGACACGAGAGACACGAGAGACACGAGAGACACCAGAGACACGAGAGACACGAGAGACACGAGAGACACCAGAGACACGAGAGACACCAGAGACACGAGAGACACGAGAGACACCAGAGACACCAGAGACACGAGAGACACGAGAGACGAGAGAGACACCAGAGACACGAGAGACACCAGCGACACGAGAGAGACACGAGAGACACGAGAGACACCAGAGACACGAGAGACACCAGAGACACGAGAGAGACACGAGAGACACGAGAGACACCAGATACACCAGAGACACGAGAGACACGAGAGACACCAGAGAGACGAGAGACACCAGAGACACGAGAGACACGAGAGACACCAGAGACACCAGAGACACCAGAGACACGAGAGACACGAGTGAGACACGAGAGACACCAGAGACACGAGAGACACCAGAGACATGAGTAAGACGAGAGACACGAGAGACACGAGAGACAAGAGACACGAGAGACACGAGAGACACCAGAGACACGAGAGAGACACGAGAGAGACACGAGAGAGACAAGAGACACGAGAGAGACACGAGAGACACCAGAGACATCAGAGACACCAGAGACATCAGAGACACCAGAGACATGAGAGACACCAGAGACACCAGAGACACGAGAGACACCAGAGACACGAGAGAGACACGAGAGACACGAGTGATACGAGTGAGACGAGCGACACGACGAAGCGCGATGACTCATGCTGTTAACTCCCGATGCACCGTGTAATCATTATCATGCTCATCATCTCATCGCCGTTGTCATCAGCGGCTCCATCAGTCATCGTCGTCATCAGCAGCATTGTCCCTACGGTCGTCGTCATCGCAATCATCGTAATTAACGTCGACGTGAAGTTACGATACTCAAACTAAAGTATTTTATTTTTATTTTAACCAGGCAAGGCCCACTGAGCGACAGATTTTTTTCACAAATATACACAAAACAAAGATCCCCCATATAGCCTTAACAGACTGTAGGGGCAAGTGCTGTTAGCGAGCACCTATGAAGGCCGGAACGGTACACGAGGGGGTGGGTGGCCAGCACCACGCCCGGCCGCCTTTGTCTCCCCAGTGGCAATGTTTAAACACCACACCAGGTACTCATTTGAGGCTGAGTCGACCTAGGGGAGGCCCGGGACCGGTTCAGATAATCGTCACTGGTGTTGGCCGTGAGCGGGAATCGAACTCGGGTCGCCAGGTTCATGGCGCAGCGCGCTAACTGCTACACTATCGCACCCCATCAAATATACACACACATATATACAGACACACACGTACAGACAGACACACATACATACGTACAGACATACACACGCATATGTAGTGGCATGGAATAAGTAATGTAGCAGGATAGCGCTGGCTTCTGACGGAGGAGATCTGCGGCTTACGGCAGCCCTGACGTCAGCGGGCCAGATTATACTCCAGAGGGGGGTCTAGGGGAAAGGTGACGGAAGGGGCACACCAAGAACTCGCCGGTAGGTTCTAGAAAGGGGGCGTGGCCGGGGGCGGAGCCAGGCCACGCTGACAGAAAAAGAAGGGCCCTAGTGGGGGACCTCTGGGCTGTCGTATGGAGTGGGGTCCCCGTCGTGCTGCTCAAGTCCATTGTTGTCGTCATTCTTCTCTTCGTCGCCGCAGTCGTCGTCGCTTGCTATTGCCCTGCTATACGGTTGTTGGCTGTATCGGTCAGCGCCATCGGTGTTAGACGGCTAGTGTTGTGTGTAGGCTAGGGAGTGTGTAGCCTAGGCGACTGTAGGGTGTGTGAAGAGAGATTGTGTGTATAATAAAAGTGCCTCCAAGAATGACTGCCTCCAAGTTGAATCACTACACATACATACATATAGAGATACTCACCCATGAGGAATTGCAACCGGGCTTAGCCAGCGCAAAGTGACCAGGCAACTTCATCTGAGGGCGGCAGTCTCTTCACATAGTTGAATCAGCCTATCACAGCTGAAGACAAACACAGAGAAAGATCCCCAGGTTAGCCGTGTTAAACAGATTCTTTGGTGACGCTGCTTCTGCTGCGTTGGAGTGGTGCACAAAGACATTCATCAACCACACTGTAGCCTTAAAAGATTTAAAAAACTATATATATACACATATAACATTAAGCCCTTGATGAATGGTTCAAAAATACAAAAATAAGGGAACTTCGCCCAGACACGGGATACACCCCCGGGCGCTAGGCCTGTTGGTGGTGTTCACAGGCAAGCGCCTGGTGGCCGGGTGACCCACGTGACCTGGTCGAGCCCAGCCAGAAATGGCTACGTGGTGCTGTCCTGTGGGCCCAGCATCCGCAGGATGAAGGGTGAGGGGGCGGGGCGTGGCAGGGAGAGGGATGGTCTCTTAGGAGTTGGACCTTGGCGATGGACACCTAGCTATCGGGACGTGGAATGTCACTTCACTGGGGGGAAGGAGCCGGAGCTGGTGGAGGAGGTGGAAAGATATCGACTCGAAATAGTCTCACCTCCACACACAGCATTGGCAATGAAACTAAACTTCTCGGTCGGGGGTGGTGTCTCTCCTATTCTGGAGTAACCCCTGGTGAGAGGCCCCGGGCAGCTGTGGGGATACTCACAAGGCCCCACCTGGGAGCGGTTCAGTTGGGAGTTTGTCCGAGTGGATGAGAGGGTTGCCTCAATGAGAATTGGGGTCTCAGACAGGAAAACTCTGACCGTTGTCTGTGCTTATGCACCAAACAGCAATTCAGAGTATTCGACCTTCTTAGAGATGGTGGGTGCAGTGCTATGAGGCCTACCGACACAAGTCTTACTTGGCGATACCTGGATACCTGGAGAGTCGTGATTGGGAGGAATGCCCCCCTTATCTGAACCCAAACACGGAATGTCAATAATACCATGTTCGAAGACAAGCATGCTCATAAGTATACTTGGTATCAGAGTTAAGAGCACCTTGGGCTGAAGATCAACGATTGACTTTATAGTCATATCATCGGACCTAAGCCCGTATATTCTGGACACTCGGATGAAGAGAGGGGCAAAGCTGTCAACTGATCACCACCTGGTGGTAAGATGGATCTGACACTTGGGGCACCGACTAGATAGACGTGGAAGGCCCAAACGAATTGCAGGTTTTCTGGAAACGCCTGGCGGAAGACCCAATGCAGACAGATTTCAACTTCCACCTCCGGAAAAAAACTTCTCCTGCACTGCAGGGAAAGGTCGTGGACAATAAGTTTGAGTGGACGATGTTCAGGATCTCAATTTTGGAAACAGCTATGTAAAGCTGGAGCCTGAAGGCAGTTGGTGCCTGTCATGGAGGCAACCCTAGGACACGCTGGTGGACACCAGTGGTTTGGGAAGGTGTGAAGTTGAAAGGGGATTTCCGAGCTATGCTAGGAAAAAGGTCTCCCGACTCGATTGAGAGGTACCGGCTTGCCAAGAGGGTGGCAGCTGCAGCAGTCGCCGAAGCGAAAGCCCTGGGGCATGGGAGGGGTTTGGAGAGGCCATGGAGAGGGACTACCGGGCACCCTCAAAGATGTTCTGGCAAATATTCCAACGCCTTAGGAGGGGGTCCAGGACATGGCGGAGGCTGTTCTCAGTAAGGGTGGCGGCGTAACATTGACCTCAACTAAGGAGATAGTCGAGAGGTGGAAGGGAACACTTTAAGGAGCTCCTAAACCCGGTGGACATGCCCTCCTCTCAGGAGGCAGCCCTGGAAAAAACTGGGGGGTTGGATCCATCACGGCTACTCAAGTTGCTGCGGCGGTCGAGGGTCTTAATAACGGCAAAGCTGCCAGGGTAGACGAGATTCGCCCAGTTGTTGCAAGTGCTGGACAGTGTAGGAGTGTCGTGGTTAACACGCCTCTTCAATGTTGCATGGAAGCCCGGTGCAGTACCTCTGGATTGGCTAAATGGGGTCGTGGTTCCCATTAAAAAAAATGGGACCATAGGGTGTACTCCAACTACAGTGGAATTACACTCCTCAGCATTCCAGGTAAAGCCTATGCCAGAGTGCTGGAGAGGAGGAGGCTTGCCCGGTGGTCGAGCCTCAGATTCAGGAGGAACGATGCAAATTCTATCAGGGTCCTGAAACAATGGACCATCTCTTTTCCCACTCACAGAGATTTGAGGGGTAATGGGAATACGCTTCTCCAATCTATCTCTGCTTCTTGAAGAAGGCATCTGACAGTCGTGTTCCCCACAATGTCTTGTGGGAGGTGTTGCGGGACTATGATGTACCGGTGCCGCTTGTGTGCGCTATCGGGTCCCTCTATTCCCGGAGTGAGAGCTGTGCCCGTATTCTTGGTGCTAAATCAAAGTCGTTCACTGTTTAGTGTTGGACTCCGCCAAGGGTGCGTCTTGTCTCCACTCCTGTTTGTAATTTTCATGGACAGCATATTAAGGCGCAGCCGAGGTATGGAGAGTATCCAGTACAGGTGCATGGAGGTGGCGTCGCTGCTTTTTGCAGATAACGTTGTCCTCTTTACCTCATCAGTCTGTGACCTCCAACGTGCACTTGAACGGTTTAATGCCGAGTGTGAAGTGGCTGGAATGAGGATCGACACCTCCTGGGAGATGGTGGATTGTTCTCTCCAGGTGAGGGGGAACAGCTGCCCTTAGTGGAGGAGTTTAAGTACCTTGGGGTTTCTTTCGCAAGTGATGGTGAGTGGGAGCGGGAGGTCGGCCGGTGGATCGGTGCGGCGTCCGCAGTGTTGCAGGCGCTGTGCCGTTCCGTGGTCGTGAAGCGGGAGCTGAGTTCTCGAACAAAGCTCGCGGTTTACAGGTTGATCTACGTTCCCACCCTCACCTATGGTCATGAGCTTTGGGTAATGACTGAATGGATGAGATTAGTGGGTAGAAGGGGCCGAAATGAGGTTTCTACGCAGGGTTGCCGGGCCTCACTCTCCGTGATCAAGTGAGGAGCTCGGTAATTCGGGAGAGCCTCAGAGTCGAGATGCTGCTCCTCCGGATCGAGAAGAGCCAGTTGAGGTAGTTCGGGCACCCGATAAGGATGCCCCCCCTGGAAGACTCCCCCTGGAACTCTACCGGGCAGCGCATCCCATTGGGCGAAGATCCCAGGGCCCGGTCCAGGACACGCTGGCGGGACGATGTCGCTCGGCTGGCCTGGGAATGCCCAAGAGCTGGAGTCTGTCGCCAGGGACAGGGAGGTCTGGACCACCCTACTCAACATGCTGCCGCCGTGACCCTCACCAGGACAAGCTGACTGAGAAAGGAACAAAACGAAATATTAAGATTCGATAACTATTCATATAACATCGGAAAAAAATGTTAATGAGAAAAAAAAAATCGAATGCAATTCTCATCAGGCGCCATGGTGTGTATTATTAGTGCCTTCCCGAACCCTCATTGGCCACTCTATCTCTCCGGCATCTATATATAATATCACGCTCTGAAAAAGGGACATTGCCCAAAACATCGCTACTTATCAAATAAGACATTGACTTAACGTCCACACAATGCGGGGGTCCCGATGAGACGTTTCTAATAAAATTTGTGTTCATATAACGGCATGCATGTGTTTATTTATTTATTTCCCCCTACACCGCCAAGGACGAGCGTCGCCCTTGCAGACGAATATTCGCGAAGGACGGTCGAATCACACTGCTAATTGCGCCGCGCAGCGCGGGGGCCGCAAACGACTCCCCGTCGCTCGTTTGGCTTCGTTTGTTCGTTCCAACGTTCCTGTCCCCTTCACACCGAGATGGTCTCCAGGCACCGTGCGTCATGATGAGCCGAGCGCGTGGGAAGCCACCGCACAAAGGCCCCACCACCCCAACACAATATAGCTTCATCAGGCTGTTGGGGCAAGTGCTGTTAGCGAGTAGCAGCAGTCAACCAGCGCCTATAAACTACAACTAATGAAACATCTATATATTTTTTTTATCTTACCAGGGGTAAGGTCATCTGACTAGTTCTTTTTCAGATGCGACCTGGCTATCACAAATGATAGCTCAACGAAGTGGCTTATATGTCGTGTGGAAAATTTATAGCAGCCAAATACTTTGAATGCACGTTGCTTCTAAATGTAGATGGAAAACCCGGAGGACCCGGAGAAAAATCCACGTGACCACGGGGTGAACATGCAAACTCCAAATATAAAGGCTTCAGGGTCCGGATAACACCCTGTATACCAAGCGAGGTAGTTAACATTTCACCAGCGGTGACGCCATACATTGCCTCATCAGCAGGGGCAGCCTTGCACGAGCAAACCGCTCTGTGAACTGCAAGATGTAATGAGCTAGGAGCCACTGTATCGGAGTAGCCTTGGATAGAGATGGCACTTGTAAGCTGAAGAAGACATCCCTCCCGGATTATGGACAGAGAAAAGAAAACAACATTGTGAAGTGCATCAAAAACAGTTTCAATTAAGCAGCCGCTTAACTCCAGCGCTGAAAATATTGTAAATCCCCACTCTGCGCCCAGGGCACTCAACAGGTTTACGTGTAATTGGGATGATTTATCGCTGGCAAAATGCAACGGACGGCACCCGTCAAACTTCCTACTCCTCTGCCATCTCTCAGCGACGCTTCTTCCTCCGCTTTGTGCACGCGCACCGCGCATTTGTGCTAATAATTGCGAGTCGCTTCCGTACACAGTGGCCCAACACACCAACGCGTCCCTTGATGGGTCTCGGCAGCGGTTAATCACGCGTGATAATTTAGTATGCGCGAGCACGCCTTCCATTTAAGCTCTCTTTTGAGGGTCCATTTGCTTCGGATTTGTGGCTCAGAATTGCTCCTTAACGAGTGTTATCGGTGAACAAGAATCGCGGAACACTGATTGCGTTTAGATTACGGGGTTCTTCTTCTGTTGTGCGGATGACAGGCCACGGCTAACATCAGTGGCTAATACAGGGGTCGGCAACCTGTAGCTCGAGCCGCACGCGGCTCTTTATGGACTGGTTCGTGAGGTAATGCCACTGTTATGTTGGTTGCTTGACCCCTGAGCGAGTGGTATCCAAACCGGTCATCCCTTCTCCATCCGTCTAAACCAGACGAGGGTGGCCACCCTGTTTCGATAGTCTCCACAACGGCGGTGATTATTATTTTGTTACGAATCGTGTAGGATTCGTGTTGAACTCGGTAGGACCCGCGTCTAATAGAGAGAGGGCCCTTGCCGATAAATGTGTGGAGGTTCGCCTGTGTTGGATTAAGGCTGACGGGAAGACAGAATGTTGAACCCGGTAGTTTCCTAGCATTTAATCTATTCCTCTGATAAAAAAAACATATATACTCCCGAAGCCGCTGTGTTGCTGATGGGATTTGTAAAAAAGAAAAAATACCGTCATGTTTTAGGGCACTTCACATCCTGGTTGTGTTTTCATTTATTCGTTGTAAATGACAAACACATTTCAACTCGTAACGGCGGTGTTGGCTCATTCTCTGAGCGAAAGAAAAACTCGAGAGGAGCGAGGAGGAACCACAGGCAAGCGGAAAGGCAACAGCAGCCAAGACGGTGAGCCGGCGCCAAATGCCACCCCGAGCTCTACAACCCTATATATGTTAAGGCATTATCAGCTAATTAGCGAGCATTTATACACGTGTGAGTACACCGGACCAACCGGAGAAATCCTACGCGCGCGAGGGGACAACGCTCTATCCCGTACAGACCTAACAGGTGGCGTCGGCATTTGCCGTAGTATCGCTGTATCCTGGTTGAGCCAGGGTACGGCGACCGCCTCAACGCAAGCCCACGGGAAGAAGGGAATTTCACAGCATTCATGCGGCGGTCCAGCAACCCTCACTGCTGCCTCTGCAACAGTACTAGACTAAAACTATTAACTATTTTTTTTATTTTACCAGGTAAGGCCCAGTGAGCTATCTCGCTCTTTTTCATAAATGACCTGGCCACAGATGATAGCTCAACAAACGGCTTATCATGCAGAAATATACAGCAGCCAAATACGCACATTGATTGTAAATGTGGAGGGGAAAACCGGAGGACCTGGAGTAAAACTCCATGAGACCAGGGGGAGAGAGACATGCAAACTCCAAACATACAAGCGTCGTCAGGGTCAAGATTGAACCCACGACCTCCTGTATCACAGACGAGGGGTAGTAGTTAACATCTCGCCACTGTGGAACCCCACCGAGAATTGGTGATACACAGTTGAGTAGCCACCTCGACTGCCACCCGGCTAGATGCAAATGGAATTTGAAATCAGAGGAAGTTGTTACGTGCAAAGGCCGGTTCGACAAGCCGCTCGTTTCGGGTGTGGAGGCATGCTCGCCTATTTTTAATATCTCCGGTGTCATCGCGTTCGCGCTTCGTGGGCGTCTGACAGCTGGGCGTGTGGCGCGCGCAGAGCGGGCAACGATGCGCCGTATGAGTAAAACAATATAAATATATATTGTATTGTTAACATTATTATTGAATTATTATTTAAGTGGATTTTGACACAGTAAAGGAAACGATGCAGCTCTGCAATAATCTTGCTTACGCCACTGCTGGTGGAAAGGAGCATTCACTGGAGGGAGCGCCGGAGATCCCCCTTCCGCTCTCCACCCCCCCCCCCCCTCTGCAAGGGGTTTGGCCTACTCTTCCACACTGGCCAGATGTATTTAAGTCAACGGGGGTACCCACACTTTACCCCACCACACGTGACCTCTGAATTTGAAGTCCAACCTGCTAACCACTCAACCACTGTGAAAGAGCTTCATAGCTCATAGGATTTCTCCAGTATATTCTGACTGGACGCAGCACGTCAAGCAATTAGAGGACTGTAATTCAGAATTAAATAATTAGCCCGCGCCTGCCGATTAAAACCCTTTGCGATAGCTCGAGGGAGGACGCTTTCAAAGGGCGTTAAACTGTTCAGTGTCACAAAACAGACGTAAACTCCCGTCAGTTCGGAATACAAACGCTGGCAGAGAATCGGCAACTGGGCAGCTCTCCCCAGAGCACCCGGAGGGGGTTCGCGCACCGCGTGCCGCTCGTCCCGATGTTGCGCGCCCGCGGTCGCGGAGCCCAAAATGTTCGGCCGTCGTGCCACGACGACCACGCACGCTGGGGGTGCAGGCGGATGAGAGGGGGGAGGGGGGGTATGACCTTAAAAGAACCACACACACACGCCAGCGGAGACAACGGCAGTCGACGCACTTGGGGCAAGCCGCGCGGACAGCCCGGGGGGAAGAGATCCCAGACAGCCGGGGGCAGCGAATAATAAAGAGCGACCACCCACACAGATTGGAAAGTTTGATTTTTATTTTTTCTACTGCCAATTCGCTGGGGTCTGTTTGGCTGACGTTGGGTGGGGGGGGGGGGGAGGGGTTGGCGGTAAGCGCTGCCACGTTTTGAAACCAGAGCACCTTTCAAAGGTTATACCAAGGTAGGCTGACGTTTCTGGGCATTGGGCCTTGTTCAGAGCGGACAGAGACGGACGGCGTAGAGATCGGCAGAACCGCAGCTGAATGAGGCGTTCATCTTCTTCTTCTCAACGTTCTTCTGCTCAATGTCGACTCAGCGTCAGGTGGTTCAGCGGAGGAGCGAGCGACCAGCATAGGAATCGCAAGGTTGAAGGTTCGCATGCTGGTCGCGGGTTGACTCAAAACCATCGTATCCCTCTGGGGGTCTTTTAAAACGGGCACCACGTTGTGGGGATGTTCAACAGCAGTTTCCATTTGGAGAAACTCGCCCCGCCCCCCACCCGGCTATTGCAATGGTTTAGCCAGGAGATGAGCACCGATGCCGCAATGTTCGTCCGAGGAAGACTCACGGAGTATCAATGTCGACTATCCACCGATACTCATTAGAATGAGATTTTTTTCGTCGCGACAGCGTCCCTTCAGAAATCTTGCCGGTTCACCTATAACGCATTGAGTTAATATCGATGATGATTCAGTTTCTTCTGTACCGCGATTCTTATTGCCGTCGTATCCACTTGGGTTGTTTAGGCTCTGAATTCTGTTTTCCGCAGCGCTGTTCGTGTTTTTGGACTCGTGCTTCTGTCTTTAGGTCACAACTAAGAATGAGACTAACCTGGTCCCCCTCGAGCCCTCAACTTGGTGAAACAAAAAATAAGATTTTAACAACACTCACAGCGAGCGCTGTCAATCATTGGCGATGACTGATAATCAATAAGAATAATTGATAAGTCAATAAACGAATCAATCGAGCGACAACCACGATCCGTAAGTGTTTTGTGACTGTAACAACACTTCCCGAAACAAAAATATTTCCGGAGACAAGATTAGTCATTCTCAACGAGTTGACGTCAATTAATAAAATCCCAAGCTACTTTGAAAGCCGTGCTTAAACAAACACTTGTTGAATCCAGTCCACCCTTCCGGCGGACCGTATAACGCCGCAAAGTCAAACGGGCTTTGTCACGTTTGGAGGACAAATTTGATTCAAGACGAACACACGATACTCGTCCCAACACTTCGCCGCTCTGAGCGCGATCGCGCATTCCGCAACGAGCTGGTGTCCACCGACGCCGCTCGCGCCACCAACGAAATCGCAAGGAGACTCAGTCGTAGCCCTAACCCGAAGAGGAGTCTGGCTCGTGGCTTGGCAAGTTATAGCGAGACGGGGATTCAGGGATTCGACGCCGACTTGGATTAAACGGCAGTCGCGGGCAATCTAATCCATGGGAAACAAGGCAGCGTCGCCGAGGCTACAGGATGCAAAACATCCACGGACGCGACCGGAGGCCCCGTCAGCGAGGCATTATACCCTGGCTCTCTTGACACGGGAGTTTGGGGTGAACCCAACCACGCGACAAAACACGTGCCGGGGAGAACTTCTTCTGCAAGACACGTGGGGTGAAACGCCGGACATCGTTACCGTACTTCATTTCAAGTTCCCAAAACGTGGTGGGGGGGGTGAAATCGACGAGCGATGTTTCGTTCCACGTGCTGGGAGCTTCTTCAGCAGGTGAACAATTCCCGAAGAAGCTTATCAGCGACATGCATTGTTTTTTTTAACGAGATATTGAATATCGGCGCGGAGATTGAGACCTGAGATGTGCAGCTTACGCGTAGAGTTTGTCTGACCATGCTTCACCACGCTGGTCAACGGGGGATTGATGGAGAGGATGATGGTACAGGAACGGTTCAGAGTTCACTCAAAAGACGTGGTGAAAGGAGTCAAACTCAAGTGGTCGGGTTTATAGTGCAGTGCGCGATCCATTGAGTCACCACCCCCCCCCCCCTCCCAAAAATGTCCGTGCGAGTGTGGCAGAATGCTTTTTGTGACATGTGAACTATGTAGGTAATGTTGAGGTTGTGTGCATACATGTTGATGTATGTTTCCGTGTGCTCATTTATGTAGTATGCGCATGTAAATGTGCATGCTTACATATAGTTTGTCGTCCTTCTCCCGCACCTCCGCTGTACACGCTTGGCTACATACGGTATAAAAGGTCAACATACATACAGACACCCCCGAAGTAGCCTTTTAACAGACTGTTTGGGCAAGTGCTGCTAGCGAGTAGCTATTGAGGCAAGCACGGCAGGCGAGGGGGTGGGTGGCCAGTAACACGCTCAGCCACCTTTGTCTCCCCAGTGCTGTTTACAAGCATGGCACCGGGTAACGTATTTCAGGCTGAGTCGACGTAGGGGAGGGCCCATCACTGGTTCAGATATTAACCACTGTTATCAATCGTGAGCGAAAATCTAACGTGGGCCGCGGGTTCGTAGCAGAGTGCGCTAACCACTGCAACACCTGTCCCCATACGCATGCACATATACACACGGAGCACAAACAATTTAGCACCTCAAACACCATTGGCGATAAAATCAAACACAGAAAACAACAACACGGCACATAATACGCAAGATTTTTATTTCCAAAGATTTTCATAATTATAAATTCTTCCGAAGTTGTTTAATAACCCAACGGCAATGACAATCTACATCCTTCGCTGGTTTTCAGTAAATCGACTCCACGAAGCTGCCTCAAGGCTGCGGATGCCCAGAGGTCCATGTGGCAACCAAACGATGAATGCGAGAGATTCGCCACTCTCAACGCTCACCAAAACCATCGCAACCCAGCATAAACATTTTTTAAACAAAACAATTTCTTTTTGCCAACGCGAAGGATTTGGAATCTATTTAGTCGCAAGAATCTGTAAAACATAAAAAAAATTACTGATAAGCGTGTAACTGAAAGCAGATTCCTCTTTTGGCAATCCATTGGTCAAGCCTTCCGGATTGACCAATGTCAAGTTTTTTTTATATGCAAGCAAATCAGGAACCGGTTTTGACTTTGCCAGTTTCATCAACAGGTCAGGCCCTGCTTGACGACCTGCTGCTGGGGGTGCCAGACTTTACGGGGGAGAAGGGTCACGACGGAGGAGCATAAAAACACAAAACTGATGTGCAAATATTTTTCTGCACACGTCGCCATTTCACACGGACTTCAGCAAGTGCTACAGCAAAGTGGTGTGGGACGCGTAAAAAATGGAAAATTATCGATTCCTCCCACACGTACGGTTCCATGCATGCACCGTGGCGATTCACACGAATTAATATTAACAAACAATTCCATTAAACGATCACCAACATCGCAAGCGCACACCCATGTGGCGGAACGGGGGGGGGGGGGGGCGATGGGTCTCTTTCGCCGCGACGTGACAAGGTGCCAAAATCACCGGTCTCAGAAATAACTTTGCCTATTTTTCCTTTGGAAATAAAACACCACAATCTGGTGTGGGCCGCCGACAGCTGCGTCTCGTCGCCAAACTACAACACGAAGCGTCAATATCCCGATAGCAAAAAACGTGAATCATTTATGACTGCGTAGGTTTTTTCAACGCCGTGTAATTCGGCAGGATGTCCAATGTTTCGCCGCACGTGCAGCATTTTCAGCATAGCCTAACCCCCCACCATCTCAAACTCGTGAAAGCCACTACGCTCAAAACGTGACAGCGGATAGCCAGATACGCAGCTCATGGTCGTTTAAATGATCATCAGCCACGATCTGTTCACTGCTCGATGAATCCCTCCAAAAGAGTCACCGTGTCCCTATTATATCAAAATGCAGCGATACATCTGGCTCCATCTTCTCAGCTCAGGCGGTGTTCCTTCCTCCGCCTAACAAACCATCGCACGTCTCGACTATCGGCCACTGCCACTGTCAGCATCATCACCACCCCCCTTCTAGCCATGTATCCCACCTACGCTCACTTTAACTCATCTTGACAGTCAATGGTTGTCTCTCTAACTTGAGTGTATTCTCAAATCCCACAAGTTTTACACACATATCCTGGCGTGCGCCTGACCATATTTATATCAGTGGCCCATTTCAGCTTGGTTATATACAATATTTACAAAAAACTTTTCCGAGCCCCTCAAACGGATAAATGTCAACCAGTGGACGGAAGGCGAGACAGCTCAAAACCAGCGCAGGTTCCGTCTCGCTCTACTTCAGTGATGGTGCAGCGTGCTACGCTGCTGCACTCAGAAAAAAGGACTTGGAACGATTTCTCGTCACTCAATCATCGAGGAGTAACCGTGCCTCGCAATGAGCCACACGGATAAGAACCGAATGATTCTCACCGCTTTACAACTTAGGTTGAGTGTGTGAAAGTGTCAGCTCGGTCGGTAACTCGAGATGGGTGGGTGGGAGGGTATGATAAAACTTGTACAGATGATCAAATATTCATGATTTTTTTCATAACATGTTGTGTTCCAATTGGGAAGTTAGTCTCGAGAAAATTGGCCAAATTCATAATCAGAACCGTTATTTAGGCTGGATGGATCCGATAAGCTATACAAGCTTTCTTTCACAGATGTCCAGCAGATTGGTTGGAGGGTTACCCAAAATTTGGCGATACAACACAGAAACGTTTAAAGGATTCGCCCCGTGCAGATGTCGCCGTCTCATTCCATCACAGTCATACTGGCCTCCTGGAATTAATCCTGGTTTCCTAGATTTTTTTTCCCCGAAGTTGCTTGATGTAGTTTCAAGTGAAACTTTCATGGAGACATATTTGCCTGTGAGAATGGTAGGCTCAAATACATCTAATTCAGTGTCGGTTAGGTGGAGGGTATTAATGACACAAATTTGGGCAGATCATTACGTGAGCCTAACCAATTAATCCATTAAAAATCGTATTGTCTGTGAATTCTGCGAGTTAAGTTAGATGCCACGTGACGTTTTTCTTCGCGGCTCGGAGGGTGACTTCAATATTCACCAATCAAAAGCTTCCCCCGACAAACGTTCATTGAGGAGCATCACAGAATGCACGGGTACTCATGAAAGTGTCTTCCGCGTTTGGGTTTCCTCTTGCGTGAAGGATGTTTACTTTACACCGGGGCATGTGCAGGGGGTGAAAACAAAAATCCAGAGCAACAAAGATTGTGGCGATGTGTCCTTCTCCTTCCCCGACGCCAGCACCCAGACGTCCAAAGCATCTTCTTCTCACGACACCAACGGCCAAACCACGGGTCAGCATCGCTGGTAACCGCACACGCACTGCCACAACGGTGCGATGTCCCGGTAAAATGCAGCAGCCCAGGAAGCCTCCTCTCCCTCCTCTCAGCGCCCGCCGTTTCCCGAAAACGGCGACTTTGCTTCTCCCTTCCACGGCACCTCTGGCCCACGCCAATTGCCGTCGGCGACGCTCTGGTTGTCCCCAGAACCGCCTGGAGGGTTCTGTATTCGCGAGTATGGTCCCAAGGATGGCCTCATCACCGGCTGCCCAACCGGCATCAGTGGTATGATCCTCACGGGCGGTTTGGCTGGAGCTTCGGGTTTGCCCTGCGGGTGCTGCTGCTTCAGGGACATTACTGAAACTCGGTTGTAAGGTTGGGACGTTGCAGAGGTCGTTGCTGGGGTCGTTGCCGGAGTCGGGGCCGGAGCCGGATTCACCGTTTGTTTTGGAGCCGAGGTCGACGGGGCTTGAGTCAAATTCATTGGAGAAACTGCTGGAGTCACTTGCCATTCTAAAGTAGAAGGGACGACCACCTTGGCACCTCCGATGTTGAAGAGCTTGTGGATTTTAGCCTGCAGCTCCTGCTGCTGTTGTTGAGCCAGAAGCTTTTTTTCTCGTTCCTCTTGCTGTTGCTGCTGACGTTGCTTCAGAATCTGTATCAATGAAATTTTCTGCTGCTGCTGCTGTTGCTCTTGTTGCTGCTGCTGTTGCTGCTCTTGTTGCTGCTGCTGTAGCTGCTGCTCTTGTTGCTGCTGCTGTTGCTGCTGTTGCTGCTGTTGTTGCAGGGACGGCTGGCTCGGCTGCATCGGTTGCTCCTGTTGCTGCTTCACGAGTAACAGCTGTTGAGACAGCAGTTGCAGCTTCTGAAGCTCTGACAGGTCCGACTGCTGGTGCTGTTGCTGCTGTTGCTGCTGTTGCTGCTGGGGGTCTATGCGCTGTTGAAATTCAGGCTGGCTCGCGGCGGAAGGCAAAGAGGAGGGGCTAGCCGTGGCTACCGCCGCCACTGACGTGGGTCGAAGAGCCACAGGAATTTGGGGAGACAGCACAACGCCTGGTTTGGAGAAAACAAAACAGTCAATAACAATTACGGGCATTCCAGAGCTTTAATATCGACAGCAGTGATAATTGTACGTGTCGTGGTATTGATTTTATTTAGCACGAAGTAGGCTAGAAACCCTCTTAAGGGGGGGGGGGGGGGGGGAGTTCTCTCGAAAGCTTGCCACTCGAGACCGGCAGTCATAACGGAATGATTTAGAAATTAGGTACAGGGTTACCCCTTGATTTACGTACATTCTGTTGATGTAATTTTGCGTTGATGCACATTTACAAATTATGCACACTTTTGAATTAACGAAATCGAATTTCGGCGTGAACGAAATTTCACACGGCATGCACCATGAGATCATTAAACAAGAGCCACCCGTGTCATGGTAGCCATACAGTGCAACAGTAACGGCCTCCACTTCACCTTTCCAATAATTTCCACCGTGCAGCAGATATCGTGCCAAGTTCCCTAACAAGGTTAACTATTTCTGTTTTTACGAATGCGTTCTTTATTTTTGTATTGTACACTGCGTAAGTTACCGAGCTTACACATTTGCTCAGGCGTTACAAAGTTACACAACGGTGCTTTAGCAAGCCTGTTTTTAAATGTATTAGTCAAGTGCCTGTGATTCGGATCCGCATGTCACAGCGCCTAACGTGCACGGATTGACAACTTCCCCTCGATGGGCACGTGCCACCCGTGACGATTTACATTTTGATTTGATAAAAGACGAGAAGCAAAAGCTGAAAAGTCCACAGCTGAGACGCATACCACTTGGCATCCCACTGAGACAGAGGAGGAGGAACGCACGGATCAGGTAACGAGTGCAAATCGCAGACATCGTGTTCACTGTTAGGGAATACCGAGTTGGTCTGAGCAAGGACACATCGTGCCTGGAGAGGATGATGAAAAGGCTGATGGATGAGACTGGTGACAGAAGGGCAGCCAAAGGAGCGATCGTGCCCAAGAGGACGGGATGGAGAGATGAGGCCAGCTCAGGTGCAGGAGTGAGATGGATTATGGCAGCGCTAAAATTCACCTAATTATGACAAACAGCAACATTTTTACATCGAGGGATTTTTTGTTGTTGCAGTCAGCAGTGGCTGGCCTGAGACCTTTTAACGCGCTTAATTTGAGAACCCGCCTTAATCTGTGCCAGTCTGTGGGTTTCTAAACAAGTCTGTGGGTCTGGGAGTCTATTGGGTGCCTATGCGAGTCTATGGATCTGCTATGAAAGTCGATGGGGCTCTTTTTGAGTCTTTGCTGAGCAGGGCCGAAACCATGAACACACTCACTTGAGAATCCAGTTTAACCCTGGGCAGCCGATACCTGGATTTAAACCCAGCACCTTCGTGCTACTGGTTCGGCATCTCCGACATCTCAACCAATCAGCCACATCTTCTTTAGGTTTATGCGATGGCCGAGAGGCTAATTATTGTTATGTTTGGAAAGTATATTTGTTATAGCCATCTAAAGATATCTCCTTACGTAAACTACAAGATCCCTACAACCGATATCTTGGAATGGACTACAGTTTAGTCATCGCCCAAAGATGTATAGTTTTGTTGGGCAAAATGTCAGAAACTTTATTTATTTAAGAAATAGTTTATTTTATACATTAAGCTACATACCAGGTGATGTTAGCATGTGAGTTAATAGGCGTATGTGTGGGTGTAAGCATGTGTGCAAGAACAGACATAGGTGAAATCTTGCCTAGGTACAAATGCTCAATTCAATGTACATGGCATACAGTGTGCACAATCATAACTATTGTAGCATGCATCAATATGCAGAACACTTGCGAACAACAATTGCCCCATCAGTATGTTAATGTTATGTGGGGGGGATCTTTCTCTTTCTTACATATCAATATACATACATTTGTATGTGTGTGTATACGTGTGTGCGCACACACGTATACACACACATACAAATTAATGTATACTCAAGGTGCACATGGCTTGGCACAAGCGTCGTGGTGACGTCACCGCCACTTAGTGGCGAATGGCAGTTGTTGTTGTGTGCACACTTTCTTCGTAAGGATATTCTTGGGCATATCTCACATTGTCATTATATACAGAGGATACGTACATCCAAAGGTTGTCACATCTACGAACATCACAAGATCTGTTCTGTATAACATCTGCACCGTTGCAGGACGCCCATGAAATAGCATCTCTTTGGGCCATTCCCAACTAAAACAAATACAATACCTACCTATCTATACATGTTTGAACTCATTCTTCTGCCTTAAACAGCCTGGTTTCCCAGCGTGTTCATTTGCTTTAACAAAATAACGCAATGTGGATTTATACAGATGTTGTAGATATATTTAGTTGAGAGAGGAAGACGCTCAGTCAAAGGCGGAGGGAACGAATGAAGCTCTCGAGCCTGGACTCGGATTGTGGGGGAATTTGAAGAAAATGAGTGACGAATCATAGAGGAAAAGCTGAGCAGGGGCTTGGACAGAAAGTCTTGGTTACTGGAGCGGATAGTATATGGAATAGAGCAGAGTGAGATGAGAGGGAGAGATATGATAGTGCAGGGAGAGGAGTAGAGTGAGATGAGAGGGGAAAGGTAGGAGAGTGCGTCTGGGGAGTAAAGTGAGATGAGAGGGAGAAGTAAGAGAGGGCATGGTGGAGAGGGGAGTGATATGAGAGGGGAGGCAGAAGAGTGTGTGTAGGGGGAGTAGAGTGAGATGAGAGGGAGAAGTAGGAGAGGGAGTGGAGTAGGCTGATTTGAGAGGGGAAGGATTGGCAGTGTGGGTCTATGGAGCATCTCGAAGTCAGTGAATGTCATCTTGAAATTGATCTGGGATTGGACTGTGAGCAAGTGGAGAGACTTGGGTACTGGGGTGTTGTAGTCTGAGTGGCAGCCTAAGGATGGCACACGTGAGAGGGGACATCCACTGCGAGAATTGGACAAATAATGCAATCAGCTCGTGTGCAGGTGTGAGATCGTTACATCGCAGAACCGTATGTGCTGGAAATGTCACGGGTAGGCTTTCGTTCATCCAGCAGTGGATATACCAGAATAGGTGATCATGATGTGGTTGGGTTTGTCAAAATGAACGGTTGAGCGAGTGGAAAAAGGAACGGACAACCGCAAATGAAGGCAGTCTCTGATCACATGACCTCATCTCATTATAGCCTTCACAGACTATTGGGGCAAGTGCTGTTAGCGAGTACCGATGAAGGCCAGCATTGCACAAGAGGGGGTGGGTGGCCAGCACCATGCCTGACCACCTTTGTCACACTGCACCAAATAGATTTGAAGTTTTCGTGACTGCAGGGATCCATACTCTTTCGTTCTTTCGGTAAAGTCACGTAGGTAGGAAAATAAAATAAATAAAATCACGACGTTTTGCTGTGGTTGTCACACCTGATGACGAATGCTTGTGTTGCACCCGAAACGTCGTGAATTAATTTATTTTATACCCGCATGACTTTACCGAAAGAACCAAAGAGTACTGCACCACGTATTAATTTGAGGCTGAGTCGACCTAGGGGAGGCCGAAGGCCAGTTCAGATAATCGTCACTGGAGTTGGCCGTGAGTGGGAATCGAACTCGAGTCGCCTGGTTTCGTAGCGCAACGCGCTTATCGTGACACTACCGCTCCCCTCATATTACACACACACACAAAGCACACATGACAGCACGAGTTGTCAAACAGCGGCAAGCCTCCAGAAACATTTTTAGACTTATAGTTGTCGAAACGACAATGAGTTTTGACCTCTTCATCCTTTAAGCCACCCTGCGACAATATATCAGAGTGGCAGACAATCCTTCAAGACGCCGCACGGATCGCTTAAGCGCTTTAAGTGTTGCGGGGTGGGGAAATTCGGGTTCTGCGAACATTTGGCCAATGACCTTCTGAGACCCGAATATCAATCATAGAAGCGGCGCTCGCCGCAGTCCAGAGGGTTCCCGCAGGCACCCTTTAAATACGTTGGGACCGGCGAAGTGTTTGACAGCGATTTGTGCGAACTGACGGGGCGGATGGATCGCTGGGGGGTTTGCCTTCGCAAATTCGCCCACGGGAAGGAATCCGCCGGGCGGGCTTTAAACGCCACCGGATACGCGGCGTAGGAACACGTCCTAAAACAAGCGCGGTGCTGAGGAATCCATCAATCTTACTTTGAAGGGACGGAGGGAGGGAAAGCGAACGGAGAGAGAATGAGTACGGTTTGGAAGCTGAATTCCAACAGCAAAAAGGCACTGCGCTTAGGAAAACAAATGGCCAGATGGCCACTTGACACCCGGCTCCCCGCTTTTCTCAACGTCACGTCTGGGATGAGAACTTGGCACCGAGTCAAACGGACAGTGGGCAGGATTTATTTTGGTCGTATTTTGATACATATTTTTTTTTATAATAAAAATCCCCCCAATTTTATTCTAATGCCACGTGACAAACTGCCATCATCTCACGAGACGAAGAAGAGCTTTCACCTGGCTATCAGTGCACCACCTTTTGTTGTAGACACAGCATGGGATAGATCAGTTTGTCAGGCCGTATTTAACACGACGGGGTTTTTACAACCGCTATCATCAGCAAGCGACACGGCCGAGATCTGAGAAACTGGTTTTAATTGCGGGCGGTAATTGAATCCTCGATTCGTAAACCCAGGATTTCAGCGGTGCCGACTTAAAAACACTCCGACCTCTCGAGCCATCAAGGCCTCTTGGCATGTGGTTTTAATGATCGAAGGTATGCAAAGGGCATAGGCAAAAATGAGAAACTCGACCACGAAGCAAGCAGCAGTCGTGTTCACGCGACCGAACGTGAAACGGCTGTTGTTTTTTTTTAATCTCTTGAAAACTTTATTCAAATATGGAACGATTTCAAGTGAGCGCGCGCGTTCAATTTGAAATAAAACCGAGACGCTTTGTCCGTTGTTAAAGGCTAAAAGAAAAATCCACGTTATTTTCTTGAAAGGGTTTTAAATTGAACGAAGAATGTGACATCGGTTATGGTGACATATGCACCCATTCCAATGTCTCACGTCCACTGACAATGAGCGAACGTGGGCCCCAAGATTATTTATATAGCGTACTTGAAAAATAATTACACTTGACGTGATTTTATACGCAGTTATTTTTTGGCGCAAATGTTAAATTATTTAAACGTCATTTTTTACATAGTGTAAACAGACCATTATCCTGAAAATTATCATCTACATGTTACATTTCATCACAATGAGCATCATCATAGTACACGCCACACTGGCACATTTAAAAAAAAAGATTAACACCAAACATAGCATGTGTTTTCGAGAGAAATTGAGAGGTTACATTTTAGACACACTTACACGCATTGGACCAAACCCATATGGTTTGCCTTTTCAGACAAATGTGTAACTATTATATTTAGCCTTGTAACGAGGGCGGACAGCACAGACGTTGATGCATAGTAGTGTACAACAATGGATTTTGATGCACTACCCTTCCCTGACAAGGTCACCCTGTGTGGCTATCAAACAGGACAATGAGAAGTCGCGTTTGGATTCAAGTAGTAATCTCAATGTATGTCAGGATTCTGTGCATCGTCTCAAGTGCCACGCCGGGAGATTGAAAGGCCGCCACCTCTGCAATGCAAGCCCAGTGGTGCTAACCGTTACACCGCGGCAGTTTCAAAGCCAAGGCGTGCATTATTATCGAGGCACATTTGTTTGCATGTTTTACAACAAGCATGTGTGGTTAAATGCAGACTTGATGCATTGAAATAGGTGTCTATTTGGTGTTTGAACATCTTAACACCTCCTGTATTACTGGCAGAAAGGGTAAAACCTTTTCTCTTTTCGTCATCTTGACACCAGGCAAAAAGGGTTCCATAGATGGCGTCCCCTTTTAATGGTAGTCACGATCCACTTAATAAAAAGATCACTAACCTCATTCATCGTTAACGGTGAAGGAGAGAGGCAAGGTTGCTGGGGCGACTTCAATTCACACAGAAACCATCTCCCACGAGCGTAAGGAGGTGGCTGCACGACGTCTCAACTACCGCGCGCCGCCCAGCGCAATCGAGCGGGCGGGCGGGCGGGTGGGAGACTTAAAAACCCTGCAATATGTTAACCATCGCGATAGCAGCCAAGCCCTGCGACGCAATTTTCGTTCAGTGGCCACAATCGTGACCCATGCCTCGCCAACCGTCGTCGCTGGCTCGCCGACTGTGGTTTACCGCGCCTCTGAATCATTCTCCCTCTCTCTTGCGATCAAGCGAAGACTGCACGCATTACAAATTCTAATTGTCGTTCAAGAACCCAGATTCCGAAGTGGGGGGGGGGAACAGCAAATAGTGTGGAACCAAACTTGTAGCGATGCACCCTCAAAATGAGGGACCGTCCAGTGCGGTCTGAGCTCACTGCCCGACCGCGGTAGGGGTAACAATCAGAAGCAGTATATTTATGGGGGAGGGGGGTGGGAGAGGGGGGAACAAATTCAAAAGAATCATTGTTGTTATTATAATTGTCATCATCATTGTCGTGCACACAATCCCCATCACATCCACCCACCCCACCCACCTTGACAAGAAGCCAGCGCCCACCTTACCTTCTGCAGGAAGAACGGCGCCAGCAGCGCTACCACCAGCGAGCTCGCCATTGCCAATGCCGCCACCTCCATCGAGGTTCATCAGGGCCTCCTTGCGCCGTTGCAGATAGCGGACCACTTGGTCGATCTCCTCGGCCGCCAAGTGGCGGCTGTCCACCAGCAGGTAGAGCAAGGCCGCGATGGAGGCCGGCGGGATCAGGCTGTCCTCGTAGGCGCGACGGAGGGCCATCTCGCGCGCCAGAGACTTCTCCGCCGCTTCGGTCGCCCCCCTCGAGGCCTCCGTGTGCTCCGACTCGCGCCGGGCCGCCACGTACTGCTCGTACCGCTCGCCGATGAGTTCGATGGCAGCGTACTCCTTCATGTTGCGGTGCTCTGTGGGTTTTGCGACGGTGGGAACCGGGCGGGGGGGGAGCGGGGGGACGGCGGGAGCAGGAGGGCGTGGGTTGCTATTTTCAAATCAAAACAAACAAATTGTGCGGGTAAAACTAAACCTATTATTTATTTTACCAGGTAAGGCCCACTGAGATACGTAGCTCAGAAATACCTCAATTAAATGGCTTATCACGTGGACATTCATAGCAGCCAAATACTCTAAACGCATGATGTTCATTCTAAATGGAGAGAGAAAAAACAGAGGACCGAGAGAAAAATTCAGGTGACCACAGGGAGAGACATGCAAACTCCAAATATACAACAGGCGTCAGGGTCAGGATCGAACCGACACAACCTCCTGTATACCGTGGTGCCCTACATTTCCCCTCTTCCACTGCAACTTCCCCACAGCTTCCCTTTTCCCTCAACAACAACCGAGCGAGCACCTTGCTTGCGGCCGTGCAGGATGATGACGGTGCATGACTTGTAGAGCTCGTGCTGCTGGGAGACGGTGATGATGAACGGCGTGCCGCTCTTGCGAACGTCCTCCATGGCCTCCACCAGTGACTTTTCCGTCTTCAGGAAGATGAGGTCAACAGAGAGGCCCAGCCCCTGGACTTGGCAGCCCAGACTCTCTGCATATGCCCTGTGAGAGCGTGTGCGTGCACGTGTATCATTATCAAACACATGGGTGTGACAAACGCACCACCCTGCCGCCTTGCGCATTCAGCTCATGCCCGAAGTGGTTCGACTCCCGAGACGTTTCTTCTTGAGCTTCCACATGACAGGGCCCACAATCTAGGAAAACGCTGAAGGGACCCCCCTGCCAACACCCCCTGCAGTGTAAAAGAGGCTCCTCTCCATAACCAAGGCTCCCAGAAGCATGATGTGGCAGCAAGCGACCATTGACTGCACTGCACTGATGAGTCCTCGTGAGGTTGAGAGCGGTATGCAGGTTTGTATTCACACCTCCGATCCGCACCTCCGATTAGCACGGTTGACTAGGCAGAGTGCGAAAAAAGTTCAACAAACATACAGGACATCTAATGAAAGCGAACTGGGACCGCCCCCTGGCTCCCCAGCCCCTCGAGAAAGGAGGCAAGGCGCCGGTGGCGTACTTGAGCGTCTTGTTGGTGACGACGACCACGCAATCGACGGGACGCTCGCGCTCTAGCTTGAACTGCAGCTCGTCGTAGAAACACGAGAAGAGCTCCTGCCTCCTCCGCTTCTCCTTCGTCAGCGCGTCCTCTGCACGGCGCAGGCAAAAACAAAAGGCGCAGCGGGTCCCTTTTCAACGAGCTCAAAATGGTAGTAGGAGACTATGTTCCTGAACAAGTTTCTGCGTCTAAGGAAGCGAAAAACGCATCGAGCGGAAAAAACTAATTCCCCGTTTGTAATGCGGCAGTAAAGTTTGGCGAGACGCGGTGTACGCACACACAGCGCAGTAAGATGGCGGGACGAATAAGCGAGAGTACGCGACCTCCGCGTTGGCGCATCATTCCGCGTACTGTGTCATACCACTCAGCCACAAAGCTCGGCCGCAGAGCTCGAGAAAGTAGTTCGCCGTCGACCGCTCAGGTACTGCATTACTGCGAAAACCCGCCATGTGAACACCGCGCGTTAAGCGGGTTGCACAGAGAAACATTTCAAATATGTTGTAGTTTTTACATTTAAATGTGTTCGTTTCGTAGGAATTCTCTTCTGGTTCTGTAAGGGGCTTTGCCTTTAACTCAAAAGCTACTATCGAGTAACTGTTCATTTGCCGATTTTAAAACTGATAATCAAAACACGTTATTTAAGTATTAATTATTGTCAGGCCCCATGGTGTTGAGGGCAATCTCCAACCATTACTAACTCTCACCTCTTTGGCCTCTCTATTTGTGTATAATGAAAAAGGGCCAATGCCCCTAACATCTATTACATATTTTTTTAAAGGTTACGGTGTTATTAACGAATGTGTTGAGTTTTTCGTTGTTAACTGTGCTCATGCACCACTGCCTAAGCATCAGCACACTGGACTTGCACACTAAACTTAAACTATTTTGATTTTACCAGGTAAAGCCAACTGAGTTATATAGCTCTTTTTCAGAAGCGACCTGGCCACAAATGATATTTCAACAAAGTGGCTTACCATGTGGAAATTTATAGCGGCCAAATACTCAAAATGCATGAGGAAAACATGAAAACTCCAAATATACAGGCGTTAGGGTCAGGATCGAATCCACGAAATCCTTGCATACCAGGTGAGGGAGTTATCTCACCACATATACATATAGTACCCATGACATCGGGTCGCTAATGGGTGCTATATGTATATGTTCACATATATCCAGATGGTATTACGTAGATTGTCAGCAAACATAATTATCTATGGAAGCCCACATTCAGCTTTCCATAAGTGGAATTCAAAGTCCAGGCTCAAGATCTTCCTCCTCTCATTTACCTGACCCAACTGCCTCTTTATAAAACCAAGATGCCCACCGTTTCTGTAAGGCATCTTGACATGCAGTCACATTTAATTGCGATGTAAATCCACGTTCTACTACATAACCATCTCTCTCTCTGCGACACGTCTTCATTCGCACATCTCTCGCATTCTACCTCATTCTCTGCTCTAAAAAAACACACGCACGAACACACCCAAAGAATATGAATTCCTGCAGTCACGAAAGCTTTAAGTCAAGATTTACACTTCTTCAAATTACCTAGATACACGTTCCCCATATTTGTACAACGCACTGAGATGCGGTCACAATAAGTGGCATTACAAAATACAAATCTCGTATCACACTGTACATTGCAATTTATATCGCTCTCTCGAAAATAAGAGTTGAAAGTTTTTGTGTATGAGCTCCTCTGTATGCCCATAGCGGTGATGGCACTATGATGATCCAGTATGATCCAATATCAACCAAACGGCAATATAAAGGTCAGCACATTCAGAATCCAAATATGTATTTATTCTGGAGGAATCTGATGTCAAGTAGAGGCAGGTAAGAACATTCTATTAGTTTGAACAATCGCCCTTCATTATAGCACGTAAATGTACAAGTACATAAACGTGCTATGATGGATCCTTTCCCGAAACGTTCCCTGTGATATTTTGCTCCTTTTAAGCGCCACAGTTTTAGCAACGAAACGAGTTGAGTTTTTTGTTGTAATTGCTACGTGTGATTGTGCAACAGTGCCAACGTAGCATCACCAAACAATCTGCAGTATAAATGTGGGTATGTTACAACTATGAACCTACTGTATTGGGAAACTGGCAAAATTGCTAACAATACAATCGGTTACCCCAAATCGCAAGAGATACAAACCAAAGCACACAGCAATGTTTGCATATACACAAACACATTCTGCCGAGACAGCTACCACCAGTCTGCTTCGTACTGATAAGTAAACATTGCACAATCCGTGCATATTTATTTACGTTTTTTTTTTATAAGATGCAGCAGGCCTAACAAAGCACTTCAGAGCACCATACGCAGGAAATCTGTAAGGTTTTAGTTTCTTTCTAAATGGGAGAATCTCGGCGGTCAGACCGCAGTTCTTCAGGCAGAGCGTTCCAGATCTGAGGGCCAAGAACCAAAAAAATAAATGCTCCTGATTTTTCCTAACTTTTTTTTCGTCAACTGATTCTTGGATTAGGCCACATCATGACTTGGCCGAAATGCTGTGTCGTTAAAACCTTCGACCAACCGACACGGCCAAGCAACATTAAATCGCCACGTGTAAAAAGCCTTGAAAACGTGAAAAACAATTACATTGACATCGATTGCAAATCGGACCAAGTGCTTTGAAGTGGATATTGATCCCAAGAAGTATTCCAACATTGTCCTCAACATCCCTCGTGTTTATAGTCAGGGCTATGCATCAGCCTGGCTTTTGTCTGGTTTGGCACACCACACCCAGTGTACTGTGGCTGCGTGGCTACGAATCACGCGCCACCGCAAAACACCAAGCGAGAAATCAAGCGCCGTGCGTGGTCATCGTTGGACGCCGGATTTCAGACACAGAGGGGTCACTCACTCAGCTCTCGGGAGTCTTCGTATCGCTCGAACAGAGGGTCGCCACGGCTCTTAAAGTACCCATCGTAAGAAGGGAGTTCGCTCCTCTCAGCTCTCCTGCAATCGCAAGAAAAAATTAAGAGCCAAACACTCACGATGGCCAGAACGCCTTGGTGAAAAATCTGCAGGATTTTATGCACTTATGCAATGTGTACTTATGTATTTTAATTATTTGTATTCATTCTCAGTGACTTGCTTACCTTCTCTCTCATTTTCACTATCGTTGATTGTATTGTTTGCTATTGTAACTCGCTGACCCCGTGCCCCTACTGGACATCTGTGAAAAAGAGCTTCGTAGCTCATCGGATTCCTCATCTCCAGTCTAAATAAAGATTCTGAATTACCCCACCACACACGACCTGCCGGCGATTTGGTTACAAACAAGAGGTGTATCCGCATAACTGAATTCTTCCTAACTTGGTAATAACAGGATAAAATGCAAAACGATCGTGTTGTTCTGCAACTTAAGCAAAGGGCCACACTTTCGATAACTCGTAAAATTAACGAAAATATTTTTTTTAATACCTCTGAACATGACCGCACAAACTTACGAAAACCAGCACGAGCCAGGGGTACAGTGCAAGCGAGCAATTATTTATACAGCTCCCAAGGGGTCCATTTGTGGCGTAATGGCTGTTAATAAACGGAAATAGCGAGTCAACAGAATGCATGTTAATAACCTGCGCTTCACGCAAAGATTTTCCGAGCGCAGTTTGCAACGTGTTTAACAACTTAATAAAGGCTTCGCATACGACACCCATCCTTTACGCTCACCGCACCGTGCGCCAAAATGTGTGCAAGCACCAGCGACGTTGCCGCAGTCTGGCGATTCGAAGATATATCAGACAAAAGTAAACTTCCAGAATAATGTAATTCTAGATTTGAAGTTCTTGTGACTGCAAAAGAACCAAGAGTATAGAGTAAATATCGTCCGTTTCTCTTGTAAATATCGTCAGATTGTACTTGTTATTATTCTCGCTTGCTCGTCCATGAAAGAGCCTCGTTGAGTCTCAAAATTATTTCCCAGGACGGTACCTTGGCAAGGCGTTGCAGTACTGGAACATGTATTGCTCAGTATAATCTCAAGAGAAGAATGTGCAGAAAACAATGTTCAGCATTGGGTGATTCGTCAATACCGGTTATGTCATATGGTTTGCGTTTTCGCCGATAGGAGGAAATGTGAGAACCCAGAGGAAACCCGTGCAGAACAGGGGAGAGAACGTACAAACTCCAGCCCCGAGTCTGGATTCAAACCACAGCTACAAAGCATGAGTGTTACCAATATGCCCACACTACCAACCACAAGTATCACCCATTTTGCAAAACAGTCATAGTCATGATTAGAATTATTAATTGTATATTTATGAAAATTACTTCTCGAGATAAGAATTATAACATAAGCACAATGATGAAAATTCTCCAAACAAAACTGGTAAAACTTTGTGTTAATCAACAAGTAATGACGTTACATTCCGAATAAACATCGCTTCTCTTCAACAAATAACATGCATTGTTACAAGACCGGTGAGTCATTACACACCTATATTCAGAACTGATTGATATTTTAATTACGAAGCAGGTTTCCGTAGCCAACATTACAATTCACAATTGATATGTGGGTTATACCTGTGTTGTAAGACCTCCACCGCCCTCTAAAGCCAATCATAATTCAATTGATCAATAGAATTGTTTCGCCAGAAAATCACATGGCCAGCATCGCAAAACAATTGCAGATCACAATACTGCCTACAAAAAAAAACATCTGTTGTATTTCGGATTCATATAGTGCTATGTGCTTATCATGCTGTTTGTTGTCGACCGCTTTACATGTGCTTAGCAACTATGAGAAACAAAGCACCTGACATCTATGCGCCGATCATCCCCTCCTCCTCCGCTTCCTCGGCTGATGGAGCGCTGTGCGTCTGGTTGTCTGAGTTCCAACGTTTCTGGGATATTTACACCAGCAGAGGGTCCAGGCTCTCTCTCTTCCCATCGTGAGCATTGACTCCTGAGCAGAGATCACAATCGAAGTGGGGGGGGGGGGGGGGGGGGGGGGGGTATGGAGGGGGTTTCATTGTACACATGTTTGTATCGAGCAGACAAACCCATGCTGGAATGTGCAGAAAGAAGATACTGTGTTGCCTTCCTCTATTAGAATAATTTTTACAATACATTAGATATTGCACAGCGTATTCCATTGCATTTAATATACACTATATGCTATACGCACAATGCATTTGATTGCATTAAATACACATTATGTACATATTCTTAGGAACTATGAGAAACAAAGCACCTGACATCTATGCGCCGGTCATCCCCTCCTCCTCCTCCGCTTCCTCGGCTGATGGAGCGTTGTGCGTCTGGTTGTCTGAGTTCCAAGGTTTCTGGGATTTTTACACCTGCAGAGGGGCCAGGCTCTCTCTCTTCCCATCGTGAGCCTTGACTCCTGAGCAGAGATCACAATCGAAGGGGGGGGGGGGTATGGAGGGGGTTTCATTGTACACGTTTGTATCGAGCAGACTAAAACCCATGCTTGAATTTGCAGAAAGAAGATACTGCGCTGCTTTCCTTGATCTATAACTATTTTTACTATACATTAGATATTGCAGTGTTTTCCATTGCTTTTAATATACACTATATACTACACACACAATGTATTTGATTGCATTTAATATACATTATATATTTCACAATGAATTATCTTGCATTTTACATTACACACTTCATAACATTCCAGTGCATTTTAACTATAAACCACATAGGGGTATTGCAGTGCACTTAATACACGAAGTCTATTACACACAGCTCACCTCACCCATACCCCAAGATCCCAGAATTACGTATTAATTGGGTTGTGCACCATGTGAAATTTTTCTTTCATCTTTGGCTAGTATTTTAAACCTTCCCGCTTGAATTCATGGTCCCTGTTAGTGGTTAAGGAGGGGCGGCATGTGCCTGATAGTATGTGTAACAAATACTTTCATTTTAACGTGGACAAATATGTGAAAGGGCCATATTGTCACCATATCTATTTGACTACTTATGTTCTCCACAAAAAAAACATGAACGGTTATTCTGTTTAGTTTCATGTCCAACTAGGGATCTATTTTCTAACATAAAGCGTCTTTTCCCACAAACATCTTGCAGTTGACCAGCATCGGTTCAAGCAAGCCGGACTGTTGATGACACTGAATATAGAGGTTAGCCCTGAGTTTGCTTGTGTTGTACCAATGCTGCTATGATTACACACTCCCAGAGGGCTGGATGGTTGATGTGCTGTGAAAAGACACCGTTTAATTTCTCATGCCAAGGGCTAGATATGCGAAAGGAGGTGTACCGCCTTGCTTATTTATGTTTCAACTACAGAAAACGGATCAGTCTTCAACAGTCAGACCGACGAACGCTACGATCCCATTCACGGTCTGAGAAATACATCATTTATTGAAAATATACACTGCCCAAAGACATTGTCATTCAGCAACCCATTATTTAACCCATGAGATCAAATAAACTCAATGAGCCACGTAGAACCACACTGCCTATTTTGCAAGGGCGACTTGGGTTACATTAACTCGTTTTGAAGGCACAGAATATTTTGAATGAAACAAATCTAGCCTAAATTTAACAATATGAAAAAAACCCATATTTAAATTAGGTCAGACGCCTGTCAGAAACTTGCTCACCGAATAAAGCCCATTGAGCTATGCAGCGCCCTTTTCATCGGCCAGCGGTAACAAAACTGTACAAAAATGACCAATCACACGTGCCTTTAAACCCAAAAAGTTAACCATAAAAATAATCTTGATTTGAAGCTTTCGTGACTGCAGGAATCCATACTCTTTTTGTTTTATGTTATTTCTCACTATGTGACTTTACCAAAATAACCAAAGAGTATACATAACAATAATCCTAAATAAAGGTGAACAGCACTTTATAACTTGAAATATACAAAGAATACCATTTTTGGGAGAAAAAAAGTGACTGGATTAGGCAAAGGAGAAAATTGTAGATGTAATAAAATATAAACTGGCTGAAGGCAGACAAACATAATTAAACAGTCTAATCAAAGCATTTACAAAGATATCATCATGAGTGTTCATATCCAAGGCCCCATCGCTTGTGTTTGTAAACTCTTACTTTGTTTGGTACTCGGCAGCATTCCTTGCCGATGCAAACGTAACATCTGCAAAACACAAGATATAAAATACGAATCATAAACACAGCTCCACATGCTGGCAAATTACATTAGTGTGTCTGAACTGTAGTGGGAGTGGTAAGGGAGCAATGAGTGGTTCCTCCGCTTAATTTATCCAAATTTCAGCTCTTAAAATTAAAACATCGCTTGGACTGTCATGCAACGAACATTGCTCTCATGCGGAATGTGTGGCAATGTGTTGTTCTCTACGGTTTAAACCGGAGGTCATTTGAAGGGGATATTAGAGCTAACTCTGATATCTGCTTCCATGCACTGCTTTGCAAGAGACCCGAAGTCAGTTTCTCCCATGATGAGATGTCAAAAGCACCATCGGGATAACATTGCGGTGGGGGGGGGGAAAGGTGAGAATGTTTTGAAGTGAGGGCGTACACGTACTGAGATATCTCCCACAAATTGTTTGCTTGTTTGCAGCCTTGACAGCGGCGTCCGCATCCCGTGTACGTTTGAACTGAATTAATAAGCGATCCTTGAAGACCTCCAGCACTGTCAACAACAACGACCACCACTGTCAGATATGGGGTGCCATGGTGGTGAGACGTTAACTCACCTGGTATGCAGGAGGTCGTGAGTTTGATCCCGACCCTGATGTCTGCTGTATATTTTGGAGTCTGCATGACCTCCACATTTAGAAACGTGCATTTAGAGTATTTGGCTGCTATAACTTTCCACACAATAAGCCACTCCGTTGAGCTATCCATTTGTGGCCTGAGCACTTCTGAAATAAGTAACATTTTTTTTTTACTTTTTTAAAAACACGATTTTATGAAATGTACTAGTAATGGAAGAACTCCACGAAGTGGCCCCGAAGCTTGCCATAACGTAAGGATCCGTGGCCAATTAAAGCCAACGTCAGTTGACAGTGGAAAATTAGACCCAAGCCGAAACATAACATATAAAAAAGAATGTTTTTTTTATTATGATAGAATATAGCATTGTCATCAGTATGACATAAGTATACCAAGTTTGCAGTCGATACCACATTGGGAAGTGTGTTAAAATTGAGTTACAAGATTTGAGGATACAACAATGACGACGACAACAACAACAACAACAGAGTGAGTTAAATGAAAGCGTGTAAAAAGAGCCACACAGCTCAGTGGGCCTTTACCTGCTAAAATTCAAAATCGTTTAAGTTAGCTTATGCTACTCACACTCGATCTTGCCGAAGCGGTCAAACGCCTTGCGCAAGCTCGTGGGAGAAATGTCCCTGATGTTCCGCACCCAGATGCTTCTCTTCACCACGTCGACGGCAACGGCGCCGTTGATGCCGCGTGCACCGCTGTCCTTTGAGCGGTCACGACGCCGGCGGCCGCACCGGCCACGTGAGCCGCTACGGCTGCGGCTACGGCTCGCCCGCAGGTCATCCTCGTCGAAGGGGGAGTACAACCGCTGCATGGTGGTGGACGCTAGCTGGGCCAAGTCCTTCCCCGGGTTCACCTCCTCGCCCGACTGGCAAGCGTAAACATCATTGCACGCAGACACAGGGTGCGCGTGTGACCTTTTTTTTTTTACGCACAGTACGTAGGCCAGCCGTACTAATCGAAGGTGCGGGGGAAGGAACTAACAAAATTAAACGTAAAAAAAAACAGGTTAAAAGAAATGGGTTTTCAATCTAGATTTACAAGGAGCAAAGCTCCAGTGGCTTTCTGAGCCGCGCAACGGGATTACGATCGCAATTCGTTTGCTCGATTAACCCCTCTGGAGCTAGGTAACGGATATGTCGTCACAATAAAGAGGGGAGCAAGGAAACTCAATCATCGGCTATCACCCGGTTACATGCAGGACAGCGATTGTCAATGGCCGGTGATGCATGTGTTACAGTACATTATACCGCATTATATAAATGAAACGTCACATGGTCAAATAAAGGGTGGGTCGTAAAATGCATTACACCTCAACAGTTGTCACTTGGGTCACAGTGAAATGCATCGCAATTGGCGGTGATGGATAGAGCGCGTCAAACATTTAGTCTACATATTCATATTCTTTGGGTCTTTCGGTAAAGCCACGTAGATAGAATTAAAAAAAAAAATTCGATCGCAACGCAAGCAATTGTCATGATGACGATTTCTTGCTTTGCGATCGAAACGTCGTGATATTTTTTTCATGTTTCGATCTACGTGGCTTTACCGAAAGACCCAAAGAATATGAATTCCTGCAGTTACGAAAGCTTTGAAGTCAAGATTTAGTCTACCTCTTGAATGAGCCGCGATAATGGTAAAAAAAGTTCATTTGACTTTGTTTAACCTGGTGAGAACTCATTAAAGTGGCAAGGGATAGCAACGTTTTGGTGTAGTTTTTTTTTTTTTGGGGGGGGGGGGTTGATGGGGGAATTGTTGGGTGGTTTTGTCAGATTTTGACCTTACGCCGCAGGCACGCGCGTGCAGTGGACCCACACTCCTGCGAAGGACGCCGCGGGACCTTTAACGTCCACCGTGCAGCGGACGCTTTGAGACCATTCCGCTTCTAACGCCCGCAGCGATAGTCAGGGGCGGCCGTCCGATTCCAACCGCGAACGTCTGCAACAAGATGGGACGAGACGTGATGGATTAACTCACGACCTCATTCAGTTTGGGCCTGTCCCGCTGTCACAAAGTCAGAGTAATCTCAACGGAGTCGTGGCTAAATGCAGTGCACGATACAGTATCCCGGTGCGGTTATGCCGGTTAAATAGAGGTAACGAAACGCAACGGGAGTCCCGCATCAGCGCTCGGTTAAACAAAGTGCGTTGCATCTCCGTGAACAAGAACGCGATGCATAAATTCGCCTCATTCACGATGAACAATATAGTCTTTCGGTAAAGCCGCGTAGATAGAAAAATAATTACAAGAAAATATCACGTACAAAAAGGGGGCATAACGCATTAATGATAGTAATAATAAGATTAATTGCGATGCCAAATGTCATCGCAAGTTGTAGCTAAGTGATGTACGGAGATAGTGCTCAGCCCTACCCGGCACAAGCCGCTCCGGGGCAAGAAAATAAAACTCCTTTTGATCCTCTTTACTGGGCGAAAAGATACAGAAAACAAAACATGTAAGATGAGATTCTATGCAAGTATGTATATAAAATAAAGGAAATCTAAAAGAGAGAACTGAAAGGGCATTAAAGGCCTCACAACTGTAGGCCTCAACAGAGCCTGTGAGATGGCGGCCGGCAATGCGTGTCACGTGACAGAGACGTGAGAGAGGGGCGGGCCTCTGGGTGATGGGGGCGGGGCGAGGGCAGGGGGCGGGGCGAGGGAGGAGGCGGGGGTCTTGTGTGAGGGGCGGGGCTGTGTGTCAGATTCGAAATCCGTATTTCAGTTTCAGTTTATTTATTTGGTATAGCTCTGTGAGCCATTCGGCTCTTGAATCGAGTGCAACCACAACAAACAAAAACACGAACAAGAAAACATGTTAAAGTTACTATGTGACTGTGCAAACAGAAAATCCATGAAAAAAAACAGCAAAATATTCGTGAAAAAGCACCGTACACCAACGCTGTGTGCAAAAATCCCGTACTACAACAAAACAAACATGTCCAAACCAAAAAACGTTTTCGAAATCACCAAAAAATAAAGACATAATTGCAATGTAACAGTGATCATAGGGACTGTGACCGAATTTTTTACAATAAACTACATAAATAACATGTAACACCAAATCCTAGAGCCATAGCTGGCTGCTTGAGTTACTCCACAACAATAGAAGCATCAGTCGGAGTATCACATTTTTCAATGCACCTTTAACATCAGCACGCTAATTCAAAATACAGATAATACTTTGTAGCGTCATCCGAAGCGAAACGTTTTATTTTACGCCAATGAATATCAGTTGCAGCTAGGGGTGTACAACTCCTCTAGAGCAGTTTTGAGAGAAGATCTCATTGGTAGCGATTCAAGTTGCAGTTTATTGGCAATAGCATTCCAGACCCTGGGGGCATCAATAGCAAAGGCCCTTCCTCCAGTTTTTGTACGGCAATAGGGAATGTGAAACTGGTAAATGAGCGAAGACCTGAGGTCAAATTTGTTCTTTGAAACAGAAAGGAGATCCAGCAGGTAGTCTGCGGATTTTTTTTGTAAGTACATCGTGAATAAATAAGATCTGGTGCACAAGCCGTCTAAGCTGCAGCTGTAAAGCTCACTCAGGTTAAGAACCAGGCTACAGCCTACATTATAGACGGCCAGTACGTTCACTCAGTTTAATAACCATTGCTACAGTCTACATTATAGACTGCCGGTACACTCACTCAGTTTAATAACCATTGCTACAGTCTTCACTATAGACTGCCAATACGCTCACCAAGCTTAATAACCAGGCTACAGTCTACATTATAGACTGTCAGTACACTCACTCAGCTTAATAACCAGGCTACAGTCTACATTATAGACTGCCAGTACACTCACTGAGCTTAATAACCATTGCTACAGTCTACATTATAGACTGCCAGTACACTCACTCCGATTAAGAACTAGGCTGCAGTCTACATCATTGTTTTTTTCATCCTATCTACGTGACTTTACCGAAAGAACCAAATAATATTAATTCCTGCAGTCACGAAAGTTTTAAACCGAAAAATATAACCTATAAAGCTCTTTTTTTTTACAGATGTCCAGTTGTGGGCGGGTCAGACGTTACAACAACAAACGCGATCGGAGTGCAAAGTATAGGAAAGGTAAACAAATCACTTAACAATTGCACAAATACAACTAAATTTTCTTAGCAGGTAAAGTCGACTGAGGTATTAAGCGACCTGGCCACAAACGATAGGTAAACAAAGTGGATTATCACGTGGACATTTTAATAAAATATCATACCTGTAAACCCCTTTATCAGTGCGCTGGCCTCATTACGGACCAGCTCAGACCTTATTGGTCACCCCGTGCCCTTATAAATCTCAACGTTCATCCTACAAAGTCCCATCACAAGGGAGAAACGCAAACAAATAGACATATCTTGTTTGTTGTTGTCCGCATTGAAATGGCTGTAGGCCGTATGAACCTGAAAACTAAATTTCCTTGTTAAAGAATATGGGTAAGGGGTACGTCCATAAATGACGTCACGCACCTAGGTGTGGGAGTGGAGTCAGACATTTGTGACAATGTGTGACGAGGGGGGGGGGGTTGAGAAATGTGACGTCACATCAAAATGCGCAACTTTAAATGAATATAGACAACACGTTTTACTTAATTAAATAGACTTTTTAATGTTTTCTCCTACAACATCAGAATGCAGCGCCACACTAAATACACACTACAATGACAATAGTTTAAAGCGATTTGAAGCATGTTTTTTTTTTGGGGGGGGGGGCAGAGCTTTGTGACGTCATATTTGAAGGGGGGGGGTCTGACTTTACGTGACGTCGTGTGAAAAAGGGGGGGTGAAAAATCGTCGAAAATCGCTTGACGTCATTTATGCACGGTCCTTAAACCCTATGGGTTGACGAGTGTGTAATCTAAATAATCTCTGAGAATAGGTTTTCTTATTCTTTGGGTCTTTCGGTAAAGCCACGTAGATAGAAAGAAATCATCAAAATAATAACAATATCACGACGTTTCGATCGCAACACAAGCAATCGTCCTCAGGTGAAAAAAGAGGGCGAAATCTGCTGAGGCAGGTTTAGAGATGGGCGGGGCGGCTAATGTTAATGTTGGAGAGGTCTCATCACCTGCAGTAGGTCTACACCAATCAAAGAGCTGTTTACAAATGGTTTAGAGATGGGCGGGGCAGCTAATGTTAATGTGGTAGATGTCTCCGTCACCTGCAGTAGGTCTACACCAATCAAAGAGCTGTTTACAAATGGTTTAGAGATGGGCGGGGCAGCTAATGCCAATGTGGGAGAGGGGTGGCCATTGTATCGTGAGAAATTAGCATGTAAATGTAAGACATTCGCTTATAAATGTAAGCTCGTCGAGAGCTCGACAACAAAACAGGTGTCAAGATTTTAAAACACCAAGCTGAAACCTTTTTTTTTACAAGGAATCATGTCTGCATTAACCACAATACTTGTGGTCAGAATTTAAAAAAAAATAACATACTCTGATAATATATGCATTCTTTGAAACTGATTGAACGAGGGGCGGGGCTATGTGAGCGAGGGGCGGGGCCTCAGTGGCCCGGATAATAGAGGGCTCTGTATTTACATAGAGAAAGATCCCCCGTATAGCCTTAACAGACTGTTGGGGCAAGTGCTGTTAGCGAGCACCTAAGGCCACAACGGTACAGGAGAGGTTGGGTGGACCAGCGCCACGGCCCATCCGTAAGGCTGAGTCGACCTAGGGGATGCCCAGGAACGGTAGCGCGGTGCGCTAACCGCTACCCTACCGCTACCCCACCGCGCACACGTGTACGTATGTACGAACATATGTACGAACATACCTACACGTGTGTACGTACGGCAGTGCCGGATTATAATCCTAGTAGTCAAAAGTAGCTGCATATGCTAAGGGCCCCGCGCTAAATGCTTTCAAGTGATGAATTCCGGTTCAGTGATTCTGCACTTGCTCTATTACTGTAGTACTATACCGCCTTCAACTTTTATGAACAACTGAGTGTTTAAGTATTCATATTATTTGGTCATTTCGGTGAATTCACGGAGATAGCAAAATAATAATACAAATAAAGTGATACAAATCAAACAAAAAACACGAATGTAGATTGCAGCCTGGTTCTTAATCAGTGAGTGTACTGGCAGTCTATAATGTGGACTGTAGCCTGGTTATTAAGTTTGTTGAGTGTACTGGCAGTCTATAATGTGGACTGTAGCCTGGTTATTAAGTTTGTTGAGTGTACTGGCTGTCTATAATGTGGACTGTAGCCTGGTTATTAAGTTTGTTGAGTGTACTGGCAGTCTATAATGTGGACTGTAGCCTGGTTATTAAGTTTGTTGAGTGTACTGGCAGTCTATAATGTGGACTGTAGCCTGGTTATTAAGTTTGTTGAGTGTACTGGCAGTCTATAATGTGGACTGTAGCCTGGTTATTAAGTTTGTTGAGTGTACTGGCAGTCTATATTGTGGACTGTAGCCTGGTTATTAAGTTTGTTGAGTGTACTGGCAGTCTATAATGTGGACTGTAGCCTGGTTATTAAGTTTGTTGAAAGTACTGGCAGTCTATAATGTGGACTGTAGCCTGGTTATTAAGTTTGTTGAGTGTACTGGCAGTCTATAATGTGGACTGTAGCCTGGTTATTAAGTTTGGTGAGTGTACTGGCAGTCTATAATGTGGACTGTAGCCTGGTTATTAAGTTTGTTGAGTGTACTGGCAGTCTATAATGTGGACTGTAGCCTGGTTATTAAGTTTGGTGAGTGTACTGGCAGTCTATAATTTAGACTGTAGCCTGGTTCTTAACCTCGATGAGTGTAATGGCAGTCTATAATGTAGACTGTAGCCTGGTTTTTAAGCTTGGTGAACGTATTGGCAGTCTATAATGTAGACTGTAGGAATGGTTATTAAACTGAGTGAGCGTACTGGCAGTCTACAATGGGTGTTTAAGGTTAGCGATTTGTATTATCTGGCTGTATAGAGAATGAAAAAAATGCAATTACTTTACTATGCAAGCTACAAATTCGTTTTTATATTTACGTGTTTTTTTTAATTTAGGACCCCTTTATAACTGATGCTACATGCCCCGCAATAGCTTAATCCGGCACTGACGAACGGCACTCTCCATTCCGCGTGTTTGCCCAGGAAATCCTCGCAGTCTCGACTTCTTCTTCCAAGAGGGTGCTGCCGATGTTTGGCGCTACGGGGCGACGATCGCTGTGCATGGTAGTGTAATACCAACTGAGCAAATCGGCGGTGTCATTTTTCAATCGTGGCAAACCAACAAAAGAGAGAATGGACCATGACGCCAGCAACGGTGCACCGTCATTGCTGCATCACAAGTCGGCATTGGGTCTCGGTGGAGAGCAGGCGATAGGGGGCAGTATGCGCCTACAGAGACACCGCTCACCTGTCAACAGGTGTGAACGTCGCAGGAGTTTAGCGGAGGGGTAGAGAGAGGCTGCTGAGCGTGCGTAGTCCTGGCCTAACGAGCCGTGTCATGATATTATAATAATAACACTAATGTACACCCCTTTTGATTTAAAGCTTTCGTGACTGCAGGGATTCATATTCTTGGTTCTTTCGGTAAAGTCACGTAGAACGGAAACAATAAAATAATAACAATATAAAACAATAAAATTCTCACGACGTTTCGACTGCAACACAAGCA